GACAGATAGTGAAAGGGAAGGAGAAAGGGAAAGAGAGAGACAGAGAGGGCAGCCGGGGTGATTGGTCCCCAGGCTATGGCTGCATAATGGAGACTAGAGGCTGGAGGGGGAGCTGTCTGGGGGGCGGCTGGCCTTCAGAGTTCACTGTCAGGTCTCCAAACCACGGGGACAGTGGTCACTTCCACTATCCCAGCATTCGACAAAATGAGCTTTGACCAACATGGTGTAGCTGCTGTGTTTTTTCCACACAACGCTAATAAATCATTTGACAAAGAAAGAAATGAGGTTCCATGAAATTAAATATGTATCTGTTAAAGATTACTTAGATCAACAGCAACTGTTGCTTTGTTGGGTTCGTGTTGACGGGGGTTTAAATGAAGTTGTTGCAAAAACATTTGAAATCTGAAGCTGGGAATGTCAACTGTCTTGTCTCGGCCTGGGATATCTGATTACCAAACATTTAGGCAGAGTACATAAGACGTTTATAAAGTGAGAGTGCTCAAGCTTGTGATTCAGGGAAGATAGTGTGCATCAGGCCGAAAAATATCTAGTGTAAGGGCAAGACTTTGGCTTTTATTCCATCTAGGTTGTTGCAAGATTACTCTCCCCGGCCAAGTCAGTGAATGTTGGCTCTTGGGAAGCGGATAGTGGTTGCAGCTGACTAGACTTTCCATGGCAGGGCTTAACATCCTGACTGGGATAAACCACTCAATTTTAGATGTCAAAAATGTCTCTGGATAAATTCAGTCTTCACTGGGGGAAATGTTTACTATTGTTTCCCATGGACAGAAACAAAACTCTTTTTGCCCAAATCTGTAATGTCACATCTCAGCTCCCTGAAGATGCATATAGGGCGCTGGAGTCTTCATCAAATAGATGTATTTTCTGGTTCTTCAACAAATCAAATCCAGTTTCTAATTTATGGTCAGTGGCGCTGCACTGTAGATCTAAGTGATTACAGATTAATGTTTAAATTGTCTGGCCTTGCAAGTAACTTGGCTATTAAGCTCCAGAAAAACATTGAGCACATTAAATAGAGCAATTTCCCATTCAATGCTACCCATGTTCAATCCTGACCTAAGAGTTTGGTTACACAAACCATAGGGATAGTCAAAGAATGTAACTTTTCAAAGTTAACGATCAAAAAAGTGGGAAATACAAACCTTAATCATATTGCTGTGAAGTTGCTCAAAAAGAGATGTAGTTTGATATATGAGTCCTGTATGCAGTTATGTTGGTTGTGCTAGTGTCCTAGTGTCTCTATAAACAGGGGTTTTGTATATCGCAGAAGGCAAGAGAGCAACGGAGAGTCTCCCAACTGCACTACGTATGCATCAGCCTTCTCCATGGTGTTTGGTAATGCTATCCCCTGGTCGGAAGTGCAAATCCAGCTGCTGCGAAATGGCCATAAATTAGATTTTCTGAAACTTGGTGCAGACGTAGTCTCCAGTGTGCCGTTTACTGGAGTGCTCAAGCCTCGCTTGCCAACTGTAGCTTTCATTATCATTACCTAAATCCCTTAAACTTTGCTGCTCAATTGTCACATACCTCAAATAATCTCAGCAGTGCATCAGCTCCTTTTCCTGCTGCAGGGCTGCTTCCCTACGAGTCAACGCAAAAAGTTAGTTCAACTTGAACCTCCAGCGGTACGATTTATCTCTTTTAAAAAGCGGAGACATGTTGAAAACATTACAACTCGTGCTTTTGCTCTCTGAGCCTAGAGGTTAGTGTGATGTGCTTGCTGAAAGCTTTTCCAAATCACAGAGAAATCAACTGAGCACGTTCACATTTTCGCAGCTGCTTTCCATTCCTGAATGTGCAGAGTAATTCCAAACAGTTTATTTTCTATCGAGCCACTTCAGCCCCCAAGGTCATTTACTTTTTCTCTTTCTAAACAGGCAGGATTCTCACATGTCCTTTCTTGGTGAAACTCCACTCAGTCTAATTCGCTATGGTCTGTTCTTCCCCAGCAGACTTGTGGCAGCCTCGTTCAGATGTGTCAGAGTTCCTCTAATTTACCTCATCTTCTGCCTGCAGATCTTCTGATAACTGAACAACAGGGCCAGTTTCCCCTGCATGAGGCCTTTCACACCAAATACACATCGGAATAATCATTGCATTGATTTTAAAATACCCTTATTTCAGATAATATGGTTGAGAGACTGCACCAACAGTGAAGTATACAAGTTGTATGTGCCTTAATGTCTTTGAAATAATTGCATGTCCTATACGATAAAAATACATTTGAAAGCGAAGGATGAGTCACAGCAGAGACAAAACCCACGCCACCGTGCAGTGAGCTGTGGGTGAAGTGGTGCATTATGGCCAGTGTCTGGGTGGCGGTTTGGGGGGTCGCGCTCTGTGCCCAGGCCCTCGGGGCACCAGTAGCAGGATGGGCCCAGGCATCCGCTGGGAGGATGACCCTGCCTTTCCCTGTGGAGTTTGGCTTGTACAGCTGTATCTGATTGGACAGGAACAAAGAGCAGCACTGCACCAGGGGGTTTGGCATTCAGCAGATAAAACAACTGATCCCCTGAGACAAGAATCTCTATATTCTCCCTTATAGTTCACAATTATGTTGATCTGAAAATAATTGGTTAACTGAATATACCAGCTTATTTAAATATGCATAATGTAGAGTGTTGTGATCCTGCAAGGCAGATATGATGGCTTACTATCTCGACATTTTACCAGCAATAGGCATACTTAGTTCAGACACTAAGTACGTTTGAAATACTTTGTTCTGTTATATTGTTGTTTGTGGTACTGCAAGCCAGATTTCGTGAGAACAGCACAATTCATATATAATTTGAGTTTTGCCCAATATGTTGAGCTCCTTGTTTCTCTTACTATCTATCTATATATCTATCTATCTTAATTTCGTATTATTTATCGTTTTTAGGGGCTTGTATAGGCCTTGAAAATCTGGTATACACTACTACATATTTCACAGTCATACCTTCAAAGTTTTGTAAGATCTATACAAAACATGTGAGTCTAACAATACCTCTGATAGCAACAGAGCTATGTGAACGTTTCATTTTCCCCACTTACTTTTTTCAGCTTAACTCTCAAAAATCGGACAGATTCATTGTGAGCAGTTACGAAAAATAATTGTGTGTGACTTTCATACGTTTTTATAGCTGACAGCTTTCTTCCAAAAAAAGTGAGACAGCTAGGCTACCGGAGAACTCCTGTGCGTCAGAAGTTTTCATCTGATGTCTCGAGCCTAAACAAAACAGACCTGTCTCTCTGTCTGTCTGTCTGACACCGACACAAACATGACTTTAAAGTCTGCGACCTTTAAGACAATGATCAACAATCTGTCAATTCAATTGGAAAACTTTCGGTAAAGTAGGCTAAGTTTGTTTTAATCGAATTTCGTCTTCATTTCTTTTTAGCTAAACGAACAACGAAACGAAATATAATTTGCCTATGTTAATGGTTTTTACTATAAAACTGCCAGTATTATCAATTTGTATTCCCGAAAAACTGTGAAGAATAGGTTAACTTAGTCGACAGTAACTGCTTCAATCACGCTTTTTTGTGCACGCAGAGCACAATAATAACTTCACATTTAGTATTTATTTCGATTGGCAGAAAGGTTTTTATTCTGATTTATCACAGTGCAGAAAGCCACTAGCCTAAAAATGTCAACAGTCTTGAATAAAAAACAAACACTAATAATGTTATTTTTTCAAAATCCAATTTCAGATTATTTTTTCTCTTGAAAAAAAATGTGTCCATATGACAAGTAAACCATTCGTTCTTTTTTTTTTTGCTCCAGTTCATTATTACACAAAAGGAATACTAATTAGAAAGAAATCTAGTCTGTGAGATGACGTGGGGAATATTAAAAACCTGCAGTCAAAACTCTGAAAAGAAACTCGTTTGTTTCAATCAGAAGAAAAATGTATCTCCGGAATATAAAGCTACATTAATCTGGAGATGGGATAGTTATTTGCCGAAAAAATGCACTCATCTACTTTTAGATTTTTTTTCATTGTGATCGAAAGACACAAAGGGGAAAATAGTTAATACAATTGTTTTACTGTTATGTCAGACTGGAAATCATGATATTAGATTACATCTTGAATACGTGGGTAAATAATTATCAAGTTGGTTTAAATGTCACTTATCATAAATAGATCTCTATATATTGATAATATAAATTGAATTGTCCACTATTAGCATACCCTGATATTTTAAGTTATTTTTATTTAAATGTATTTTTCAGTAGCTCAACCACTGACAGCTGATTTCAGATCTTGACATCAGATTTTCTTTCAGGGTGAACACAGGTGCGTCTTGATCTGAATAGACACTTCCTATATCACCGGGAAGACAGAAGGACCTGAGGAGGTTCATGTCCTCTGGCTCAGGAAGTCCCATGATCTCCATTCTGCTTCTCGACCACCTCTAATTCAATCTGAGACCCCGGGTCACGGGCAGTGTTAGAGGTTGTTGTAAAAAACAGCATCAATAAGATTATAGCCATTACTTAGAGCTAAAGAGGACCAACAATTCGTCTTGCGGGTAACTCGATGCATTAGCCAACTATTTCCTCAACATATTTTAATAAAACCAGTCAAAAGTAGTCTAAATCATAGCTCAACTTTAACTTGGCCAGTAATTTTCAAGGCACACATATAAACGAGGCTTTAGCCCAAACCACCAAATAACTGTAGGCTGTGCTTCCACCTCAATTGACCATTTATAATCTGATGTTTTTAAAGAAGATTATTTACGTCAATAAAGAAGATTATTTACTATTTTAAAAACTGTTTGACCTCAATATCAAATATTAACTACAAATATGCACGGTTCAATTAAGTCTATATACCTTTATAGAATTCAAACAATAACAAATACATAAAATAGCATAATTACCGCAAGATGACATTAAGCAAAACCAACGACGACCTCACTACAGGTTTATTTTTTAGGGAAATGTCAGGCTATTTCTTAGTCTACTCTTTTCCGCGCGCGTCACCGCCCAACAGGGCCTCTTCGTCAACGCTTCCTCTCCAAAACATATTTTAGGATTATTCATTTTTTAGCTCTGGCGTGTGCCTTTATCTGATACTTCCAGATGGTTTTGCTGAGGTGCATGTTTACGGATTCCTGGAGATTGTGAGTAGGGAGCGAGGCTGTGTCGTTACCGGCGGTCTGTCCTTCATTAAGAGCGGGTTCTTCTTAACAGAGAGGCGAATCTATCACGACAGACAGAGCCTTCATAACCCGATGTTCGCTCGCACACACACACACACACACACACACACACACACACACACACACACACACACACACACACACACACACACACACACACACACACACACACACACACCACCACACACACACACACACACACACACACACACACACACACACACACACACACACACACATACATGCAGCATTTCTCTTTCTTAGCTACTGTGCCGAGCAAGCTTTCCCACCTTGCTTTCTGTGTCCAATATAAAATAGGTTAAGTGCCCGTCTGCTAATTTGCTAAATGATCAGAATCCAACACGGCACCTGTAGGCTATGTGCAGGAACCAGACTTCTGTGGCACTAAACAGGATTAAGTTTAGGGGCCAATTTGAATGCAATTGTAGACACTTCATACTGCACTGAATCAACTTGTGTACATTAATCAAACTCATGTACAAATACGCCTGTAGACCAGGGATTTTCACAAGGCTGGACCAACGTTTCCTGAACTTAAACATAGTTGTCCTTGGTTGGTTGCATTAATGTGAGCACTGTATAATTGAAAAGTAAATCACCATATCATCAAAAAAGCTATTATTTATTTTTCTGTTGTCATTTTTAAATTACATTTTTAAACCAAATGCAAAGTCTATACTCTGACAGGCAACACATTTGCAGAGGCAAAATGCTTCAAGTTGACAGATAGCATGTCAAAAGTCGCATTTTCTAATTATCCGGTTAAGTTGAATAACAATATTTGACCCCAGTCAGATACATGCTGATGATGGGTGAAAGATATAATAGTGGTCGGGTGGTCTCACTTTTCTATTGCTTATATCGGCTTGGGCTCAAAGCCTTATTCTGAGTAGTTAATATTGAAATGATTATTATTTAGTTTTTACTTAACTGTTTCATGGTTCATTGTAGCTGTCTATTTATGCTGGAAAAAGAAAATGTGCAACGTAAAATAGATCTAGTGAACTGCTACAGTAGTTCATCTTTTGTTGGCCTTGTTATGTTTGGATTTGAAAAATGTGTTCCCAATTTCTAAAACCGCAGCATGAAAGCAACACACAGCAGGAGATTCATTAAGCAGCAGACAGAAATGGTCTGATAAATCAACACATAACTGTATCCACATTTAAATTCATATTTTAAGAAAAGGCTGCAGCAATAGTCTGTCTGCACTCCAACATCAAAGTCCTTTGGCCTAAAGATCACTAGGGGTTTAATTCAACTTAATATCACAATCTTTGTAGTAGTAAAATGAACGGAGAAATATCTCCTTTAAAAACTCTGGCAGGACAGGGTGGACAACAATATGTCCGTACAGTAAAACAATAACATGTATCAATTATTTCTGACAGATATGGCCCTGCTCATCTCCAGTGTGTTGTGGCTAACACTCGCTGGGCTCCATGACGCCTCACAGGAGGTCAGACAGAGGACAGCAACCCCACTTCCCATTTCCCTTTGGAAAAACCTCAACCCCCATCGCCGCAGTGCACCATCTTAAGATTCCCAGAATGCACCTCTCCAGCCAGCTGACCCCCAGGTCAGCAGCTGTCAATCACATCCTCAGCTGGCTCTGCAGCTTCTGGACACAGACTGGAGGATGTGAGGGAGGCCTCTGAGAGGAGGCCTGGCTCTGCATATGGGATCATCTCTGTGCATTCATGGCGGCTAATTCAATTAGCTATCCTTCTCCTATTCTAATGCAAACCTCAGGTTGAATCGCCACCCTGTACGTGAGTGGAAAGGCCCCAGGCAGTGATAACCAGACAAAGACAGACAGCTTGCATGAAGCACAACGTTTTACTTCATTCTATCTGGCTGTCTATATTGGTGTTTCTATGGCAGGTCGGTCTTAATAACTTCTCCATCTTCATGCTGTTGGAGGATCACACAGATTGTCCCTGGAAAAGGTCAGACCTTTGCTTACTCTCCTCACTCAAGAAAGACTATTATTCATGATTACAACATCACTAAGTTATTATATGAACTTTAAAACGTAGGATCGTACATAATAGTGAAGACTACTGCCTGTCCGATTTGATAGTGTGTTTTTGTCACATGCAGGCCGGTGTATGTTCCATTAAGTTGTGTGTGTTTGCAAGCGTGAGGATGTAAGGTGTAACAGGGTGTGACAAAGCACTGACAGCCATGCAGGATGTAATGGAGGGGGGGGGGGGGATGGAAGTGGCTCTCTAGCCCAAGGGCCGCAGGGTGCGCGGTGAGAGTGCAGGGTCACCTTTATCCACGCTGTCTGTGCCCGGTGCTGGAGGCAGCTGGGGGAGACCTGGGACTCCCAACAGGTTGAACTGATTTCCTGTGCAGGGTCATGCCCAGGACAAGCTCAGAGGACAAGGGTTTAGGACCGCAGGAGCTGGTCATGGTATGGACATCGAGTTGATGTTATGTTCTGCCATTTCCCTGCTTTTAACCACCGCTTCGTCCCCTATGAGTGGGTAGAGTTAAACTGCACACATCACATATGTGAGTTTTATATAAAGGACAATGCTCTGTTAAAGTTGGACTTTTCAGTGCATGATTGAAAGGACACCCCCCACTCTCTTTTTGAGTATAATTAAACAAACCACAGCTCACAGACGTCCCACACAGAATCATAGGAGGCTTTGATTCCTCAGAAAATAGCATACCCTCTACATATTATGCTCTCTTGATGCAGTATTCATATAAACACTGTTACCTGCGGCAGCTCTGAGATCATAACGCAGACGTTCTTCCTCTTGCCCACATTTCTGGAATGCATTTACTCAGCTGGGTTTGAGCTCTGCTGCCCCGGGCTACAGAGGACATGCTTGTCACGGGATTTAAGAAACATATCCGTTTCCCCCCTGTGTGTACATCTTAAAACCCCTATACTCCCCTCTAACAGAATTATGAGGTTTTTAATGGTGGTCAGCCCGACAGTTTGACAAATGCTGGCAAAGTACACGTCATAGACTGAAATCTAGGTGGATGAATACACTCAGAGTGTGGGAGGGTAAAAGGTGGCATTGTGGTTGTGATTAACATGACAGCGTGGTCTTTTTTAGCCTCTACGCTCTACTGACTTGAACATGTTAATCTAAGTCATGTTACACATGTCATTAGGCCTTAAATGGTCACTAATCATTTTAAACTTGAAGGAACTCTTCCTCTCCATGCAAGCAGCCATTTATTTGCAATTTGTGTCCAGATGAAGACTGGGGATTTTCATTTTGTGTATGACTACACTTTAAAGCGTCTCTTGGTAAAGAGAGGAACGTTTTAAAGTATTATCTGCACATTGGAATACGATTGTCATTAGAATTGAAAAAAATGTTTTCTGTCGGTTTATTTTTGTTTTGGGTGTATACCAAAAAAACAGTTTCTAGGTTTACATGTTCTCTATTTTTCATTGAAAATTCTGAAGTTAGAAGTTGTAACAATTCAAGCAAGAATGTAAGCGCACATATTGCCATCATTTACATCACATCGTAACTCTGTACTTCTTGTTGAACAGCCTTTTTTCACTCTGATCTGTTACTGTGGACACTTCAGGGCTCAAAATGGAATCAAATGGGGCTTATGAGGCCTCTTGGCCCAAATGGACCTCTTGTTTACACACTTGTCCATCAGCTGAGGAGCATGCGGCCTCAGGTATCCACAGAGATGGTGAGATGTCCCCAAAACTATCGGTACTGTGTCTGGACCTGGTAAGTGCACTCTGTTTAGACGAGGTTTGTCTAGATCGGAGATTACATGTCAGTATCAAAAGCCTTTTATCTTATGCTGAGTCCAACTCTTTCTTAAGACATTCAGTCTGTTTTGTGCTGCGGTTTAAATGAATAACATCTTGTGCTCTGTGCAATGGGTATACGATTTATTTTAATTTGATATATTATTCGTTTTATATTGATCAAAATAGTTGTCAAGTGAGTTTAAGTAAAAGCCCCCCACATATGTATCAATTGCATTAATTAAAACTGCATTTCACTACAAGTTCGGAATGTTATAACATGCTTAAAGATTGTTGAGCTGTTTCTATAATTTCCAAAAGACATTCATTAAAACCGCAGAAATCAACATGCTGAACGAGGAAACGGCGAACATACTAGCCTACTGTATAGAAAAAGAAACATCGGTAACAAAGTTAGTATTTTGTGTTTAGTATTGCAATCACTATAATAATAATCTTTATTTCGGTTTAGCATTTTTCTGGAAAGTTGCATTATTCTTAAGATTGTCGATCGAAAACGTAAATCTGTTTAAATTAATAAACTCGCTACTGAGAAGCTTTTGTTTGAAATTAATATTATTTTGGGAGCAGACTGCGATACAAAATAAGCGTTATGGTTATACACGATTTAAATAAAAGACCAAATGACATTTATGCGGTTACATCGTTTAATCAATAACCCGGATGCCGACGCATTTTCAACTTTAAAAGTCTTTACGACCATATCTGTTCAAAAACAAAGACAGCGGAAATAATAGATATCACAGTAAAGTGAACATTTAATAAATTGTATTAATAAATGTCAATATTTTATTTATATTATGTGTGTTTAATGAATATGTTTTCGTATGGATTTTTCTCAACTTTTTATCGAAATTAGTTTGACCTTGGCAGTATGTTGACCTTATTTCCACATGCTTTGTAATTGCATTAGGCTTTCCCCCCCCATTTTATTAAATGATCAGACATTTGTGTCACAACAGTGAATTTTGTCATTTTTGACATATTGGTGTAGGCCTTATTGCCAATTCTCGTTTAGCTGCAGAAGGACACATATTTAATGGAAGCAGAGAAACCCAACACAAACTAATGAAAACTATAGATTTACTTTATTCTAGCGGTTATTAGTTTAAGAGCTAGAATGTGCTCGCAGATTTCTTTATTAAAAATAAGAAAGTCTCTTTCTGACGAAGAATATGAAACGTAACATTTAGGCCCAATCCTTTTTCCGACTTTATAAAATAAAAATACAATGATATAAAGTTAAATAAAGTTAAACATTACATTTGAAACAATAAATACATTTATTCGGTTAAAGTGTTTTTGTATTCGTTCAATTCTCCGTGCGTAAACGGTCGTGTGTCTGCTTCTCCTATCCTGCTTGGTTTGGTGATTAGGTCCATAGCAACATAATTTATGAAATAGGAATTAAATGGTTAATTGGAGGGACAGAAACCACACGTAATTTTTGGCGGATTATATCAGACTGCTGGATGCTGAGACACGCCACCACACACACACACACACACACACACACACACACACACACACACACACACACACACACACACACACACACACACACACACACACACACACACACACACACACACACACACACACACACACACACACACACACAGCCTCTCCCTCTCTTTTACGCACGCACACACACTCCAACTCCCGGTTTCACGGGTCTTTGTTTCTGATCTGTTAAATCCCACCCACTTGACAAGAACACAGAATAGAAAAAAAACGTTCTCACTCAGGCGCCCACACTACCAGCGCCCAGTCGCTGTCTATACTACCTGTTGGACCCGTAAAATGGAGACGGAGAGTTGTTTGCCTTTCTCTTCGCAGACCAGCAGGAGGACGCCTGAACATTCCCCCAGACTGGAGCACGGTGGCTCCTTTCTCCCTTGCGATGAGCTGCAGAAACCCTCGCAACTTCCGCCTCTTCCTCACCGCCTCAGCCTGCGCGGGGATCTGTACGCCGCTGCTATGGGGAGGTTTGGGGACGCTGCAGCGGACTTTACGCACGGCGCGGCCTCGACCAACCCGCCCGGCTCACCGTCCAAACACAGCAAGTTCTTGGAGAGTATAAACCAGGACCCAAAGGGCACAGCGATAATCGGGAAGACGGCTTTTTATGAGGGCAACTCAGAAGGTGAGTTCGAAAGAATGTATGATACAAAAAAACACATTATTAGCAACAAATAATCTCTTTTCTTTTTTTGTCAAAACTACAAGTAAACAAAGATGTTGGTGGCAAAACACACACTGAAGTGAGAGCCTTAACACAAATTATGTTTAAAATCCATACTTTCATCAGCTGGTGTAAAACAACACATGGATGAAGAAGTACAACATGAGAATAATACTTATCCTTTAGAATACATTGTTAAATTTAGCAATGAATTAAATAACACATCTAGTGAAACTGCTTTCCAATAAGCCTCCTTTTCCTGCATTTTGCATGCTTGTCAAATGTACTCTTTTAATAAACAATAATAACAAAGTGTTGACTGATTTTGACTGGCTTTGCTAATGAATGCATTGTTGTGATAAAAATGTCAACACATTTTCTCTCACTTTACTTTTCTTAAATTAAAGTGAGAGGTTAAAGGTCAGCTCGCTGCAAGTTGGGTGTGTCATTAGGCTACCAGTCAGTTAAAACAATTTGAATTATAGTCCCCACACTCTTGTGTTTCATATTCTCTTCATTAGCATGTTTTTGTAATATAAAACATCAGAATTGACTTGAATTGTGCGAGCAGGCGTGCTTGAGTCAGACGTTATAGCCTGTAAATGTCAATTATAGGAAGAAAAGTAACAAAAAGTATATTTGCAACCAAAGACGGAAGGAAAGATGTGCTCTTTCACTTTATTTATTGCTGTTGACGATTCTGCAAGGCAACAGAGGATATGAGCGCTGATGATCTCAGTGATATCTGTGTCCAGAACAATATACAACGGCTTGATTCATGTTCCTGCCAAAGACAGCCAATATACTTTTTTCACAATTAGTTATGATAACGATATCAGTTGTCCTGTTTGAAAGTGGATTTGTATTACTTTTCTTCTAAATTAGGTTTTAATAAGAGTATATGTGTGGTCTTCCCATTTATCTGACACACACAGATACATATATGCTTGTGCACTGTAAAGTGTTTCGTGTTAGCTTCATTTAATTTGGAAATGACTGTGTATATTACTTTAAATTAGTAGGGCTTTGCATGCATGTGCACAAAAGGTCCCGTGTGTGTCTACACAAAACACTTTTCATTTGTATGTTTTAGATTTTGGGTTCGTTCACCTTCAAAGACAGACACGTTTTCCTGTTTTGTCTACAGGAAGCAAAGTTGATTGATTATTGGACAAACCGAAACATTTATAAACTTTAAGCGTCTTCACACCTCAGAGTTTAATTGAGGTTGGTTTAATTTAATTATTAATGTTACTTGCCGTGGATTCTTGAAAATGTAGTACTAATGAGTGGTGAGTTGATCGGAAATTGTTTCAAAAATGGCAAAAAGATTTCTCACTACTTAACAACTAAAAGGTGGTCAGAATACGTATATGTAAATCTTTCAATATATTTGTTTGAGGCTGAGATGGCCTCATTTTAAAGACCTTTATTTCTATGTCTTCTAACTATTGGCATACAGATGTAAAACCAGTAAATATATATCCATTAAATAAACAGAAAAAAATAGACTGAAGTTGAATTACTTGTGCAGAGCAAGCAGCCCAGAAAATAAAAAGCTTACATTTCTACCAAGACTGTGTTAGAATTGATGCTCACAGCATTATGATCCTACCTTTACATTTAGAATTCTTATTTGCCTTTTCCTGCATTTCACAAAGATCTCCGATTACACTGGAGTCAGAGCGGATGTGGGTGTTTGACAGGGTAAAAGCTATACAATGTCCTGCGGCCCCAGTTTGAAATCTTAACGGTGAATGTTCACAGCATGAACTGCAGTATGAGGTTAGATCTAATGGACACGAGGAAATTAATGTTGCAATGAAAAGTGCTCTCTGTTGGGCCCCATATTGAATTAGGAGAATAGCAAAGTAATGTCTCAGCCGCCCCCAGTAAGTGAGTGCCTGCAGATAGACGGAAATACATTTTGTTTTGGAGCTCAGGGTTACACATAATGAACGCAGACAACAACATTCAAACACTGCGGGAGGGAGCAGGCTTTTCCATGGTCGGTTAACGGGAAGGGGAATAATGCTTTCAGATTCCCCCTTTCCGCTAAATGCCAAGGGAAGTATATATATTATTTATTTAAACAATCAGGTGGCTTTAACAGATAGAAAGTTGTCATACACTCTAGTGCTGTTTTCTTTCTTTTAATGTTAATGTATTAACAATGTTGTCCTTATAATAACTTGGTTTGTCTGTTTAGAAGGTGAACCGTGGCATCTTATTTTCTACATTTCCAAATCAAATCTGTTTTGTATTGATAGCCTTGTGGGTTTAATTCAAACCAACTCACTGAGAGTTTACTGTGGGACATTTCAGCTAATCAAATTAAATCGCTGTTGAGCTGAATTAGTGTTGTGCGTGTTGCTCCGTCCAGCACCACAGTTCAGCCTCTTATAGTTGAGTTTAGGAATCAAATTTAGAAGCATTACAAACAAGCAAGAGATGTTCAGACAAAATGTTTGATGCGTTATGCTGTTCAATTTGATTTTGTAGAATTAACTAATTTGGTCTTAAATGGAATCTTTTCTCTCAGCAGTGATAATGGGAATACTTGATCATTTAGATGTTTGCATTGGTGCCTGACATGCAAAGAGATTTGGTTTGCAGCATTGGCCTTTTCTATATAAAAGTGTGTTTCTCATTCTCAATTTTTCGGCAACCATTCAAAACCATACATTTCTTTATTTTATATTAGCTTTACTTTACCACAAAAGCACATTTTCATTTGGAACATATTTTTCAAAAATGGTAAAAAATCAAACTAAGTTAACAGTTTATACAAATCATTTGACAGATGATGAGACTTTAACAATGCTAAAATATGCTTTTATTGTATTTGTCTTCCATCTTCAAAATAAATGCTACAATCTTTACCAGAGGTTGATGATTATAAAAGTATAATCAGTGGCACCTTTGAGCCCTAACAGCAGTCTGAAACAGGGACAAAATAAATGTATTTTGATGAATTGACTACAAGACTTTTCATTTGAGTTAATATTTATTTTGAAGTATATTACATTGTCTACCTTTTTCTGTGTCCCGTCAATGTTGCAGCCAGAGAGAAAGGAGCTCCAAAGACGATGGGCTACCCTGGCCTTGGCCTAGAATGTTGTGGGAAGCTGAAAGAGCCCGGCGAGGGTCTGCATGGGGTATCTATCGCCGACTCCATCGACTTATCGGGCAAGAACAAGAAGCGGCGCAACCGCACTACCTTCAGCACCTTCCAGCTGGAGGAGCTGGAGAAAGTGTTTCAGAAGACGCATTACCCTGACGTGTACGCCCGCGAGCAGCTGGCCCTGAGGACCGAGCTCACTGAGGCTCGGGTTCAGGTGTGTGAGAGCAACGAGCTCCGATGTTACAGTTTCCTTTTATACCTATAAACAGAGAGTTTATACATCAGTTTAACTTGAATATCTTTGGGTGTTGAACAGACAAAAAAAAAAGGAAGACATAATCTTGGTTTTTAAGAAAACGGGATGAGCATTTTTCAATATTTTCTGAAAATGTAAAAACCAAACATATATTTAATAATCAAAAAGAAAGATAATCATTCGTTTCAATAACAATTGTTTCTGAAATGTTCGTGTTGTTCTTTATTTTCTATCGAAAGGTTTGGTTCCAGAATCGTAGAGCCAAGTGGAGGAAACGGGAACGCTATGGGAAGATCCAGGATGTCCGCAACCACTTTGCTGCTACATATGATATCTCTCTTCTCCCTCGCCATGATACATACCAGGTAGACCACTGCTGATCTCGCATGACATGCATGTTGTAGTGGAAGCATTAGTAAAAATGTTAGCCTGCTCGGAAAGTTTTTTTTTTCAATCTCTATCCAACATTTGCACATAATTGTATCTTGATTTAGGGTCATTGGCATTAGGTATGAAATGTTCCATGTCGATACCATTCAAATTCTAAATGTGTCTTATCCTAAATCTCCTGACGTGCAGATGCAGGGCAACCTGTGGCCCGGGGCGGCATCCGCGGGGGTCGGTGCTCCAGGTGCTGGCTGTGTCTTAGGAGCAGACTCCCTCCCCTCGTCCTGTATGAGTCCATACCCTCACCCCCACCCCCACAGCAACCTGCAGGGCTTCATGGGTATGCCCCCATCCCAGAGCCATCCCCACCACCACCACCACCACCACCCGTCTCACCATCCGGGCATCAACGGCCTGTATTCCCTCCACAGCTTCCCAGGAGGCCTCGGGCCCCATTCCATGGAGGGGCCGGAGAGCGACTACAAGCCGACGGGCCTTGTGGCGCTGCGAATGAAAGCCAAAGAGCCAGGCAGCATCCTCTCCTGGCCTACATGACCACAACAGAGCCAGCTCCATATTATGCACTGACTGAGCAAACGCATATTACATCCTTGACCCATACACATCCCTCAATGTACATACTCCCCTCAGCATATGTCTCAAATAATTCCTCTAAACAGTTATGTAAGCCATTGGAGGCTTTCCATCATTATGAAGGTCTTAAGAAATATGAATTTCATAAACATTGGGGGCCACTTGAGCCTCTAGCACGAAACCCTATTGTATAGAAACTGTATTGTTCCAAGGTTTAGGTTAATATCCCAATGCTGAAACCAAAGAGGAAATATTATTTAAGCATGTAAAAATTGTAATTATCGTATTAATCATTGTTTTTTCGTTTGACTGTTGTGCTTTATAGTGTGACCCTTAATAAAGGCCTCCATCTAAATCTTCTGTCTAGTTTTGCGAAAATACATTAAGAAAACGGAACACAAACAATCTCAGCTTTAATTATTTTATGATATTTAAAAGGCGAAACTAAATTGTGACTCATATTAAACTAGGAATGTGGTTGTGAGTCAAAAATGCTTCGCAGGCTGTGGTTGCCATAAACACAAAGACTTCTGCTGTGCAGAAAGTGAGCTTCTTCTTACTTGGGAAATACACACAAATACTCAAGGTTTGCAGCATGGGCCTCACTTCAAGAATCCTTCAGGTAGCACCTTATGTATCAGCAGCGTGTGGCAGGCTCATTTATGAAACACAAACTGAGTGGCCGCACTCCTATACTGATGATAAAGTAAAGAGCCTCCCACAGAAAGAAGGATTTACATCTGCCATCAGTAGTCAAACACGACCAACTGAGTAATCACAAACAGAAGAAAATGGGATTGCCATGTTTTGGTTGTAATATCCACTAAAGATCTTCTGCTTTTATTTTTTAAATACTGTTGTCTCCATGGGAAGAATAAGACATCAATAAATTTCTGTGGCATACATAATCATGTATTTATACTAAATGCATTCATAAAGATTTCAGGAAATGCAAGCTGTGCTTTACCCCAAAACAATTAACTTTATTGTTGAGAAGAAACACTGAATTGCATTGTACCATACCATCTGGTGTACATTTTTAAATACCAACACGTTTTGCAGACACACAATTATTTCAATCTGTGAGGGATTGAGAATGCAATTTGTCACCATTGAACAAAGCAAATCGAAATCCTGCTAACTCCCCAGAGGTGATACTCGCTCTCCGTTCCTTTAGTCTGTGTCAGGGTTTTGTGTCAGCCACTAACATGTGGTTCCAATAGAAGAAAGCAGAAACCCATCAGAAACACTTTCCACACCCACAGCTTCAAATTCCAGCCAGGCCCTGGGAGACGGCAGCCCTCACTGAAGTTACAGTCCCCCTGATTAAATCCCAGATTAAGTGGAGGAGATAAGGAGACCTGTCAGTAGGGATAAGGGATTGAGGAGATGGCCATCTTTAGGAAAGCTGAAGAAATAGCAGATGGTGTATCAGTGCTCAATTTTAATATTTATTTTTTCGATAAGGAGTAGGTTAACCAAATGATCTGTCGATGAACAAAAGAGGAAAGTCGGTGGCTTTGTGAATTAGTTGCAACTCTGCCAGCACAAATGTGATATATTTGACAATAAAATAAATGCAGTATTGTTTATTCTTCTTAAAAAGAGGATCAAAACGAATTACCTCATCTTCCAACAGTTTTGATTACATTGTCCTTTAAGTAACATTGATGTGGCACAAGCTTTGATCTGTTTCAACTCAATACATCATGCTGCAGAGGCCTTGTATGATTTGTCAAAAATGAAATGAAAAATGTTGAGTTAAGAGTGCACAATGCTGGGAGAAGTTATTAACTAAGTATCACTCTGTGTGTAAGGGTCATCAGGTGAAGACTGTCTCTAAAGTCTGGAAATGAATACCCTCAGTCTCATTAATGGACGAAAAAAATATGATTTAACGCTCATTAAAATCTGCACAGCTGCCTGCTAGCCACTGTTCTGAGCTTTGATCTCCAACAGATTTATCTTGGCCTTGAAGTGCAGCTATTGGGACACATCAGATCCTCATGAAGTAGTCAAACAGTATTAAGCTAAACAATGTGTTAACACATTCACACAGTGGAGTAGTTGTCTGGCTGCTTTCAGACATTTATTTATTTAAGTTAATTTAGCAGTTTATCATCTACAGGAAAAGACACAGTGCCAGTCTGAGTAGACTTTTTTAAATTAAAACGTTTTAGAGTGTTTAATAAAGTATTATTTTAGCATGTTTCAAGCACAAGTTTAACTTGTTATTGGGAGGTAAATAACCAAAATAGAAGTCACTGTTAATCTGCTTTCAACCTCTTTAAAAAGTAACCAAAGTACTTAGAAGTAACCTATTACAGTCCTTTTATATATATATATATATATATATATATATATATATATATATATATATATTAACCTACAAACCTTATAGGCGAATTATTACTAACTTTGCTGTAAAATAGATTTTTATTATTTTTACAAAAACCACACAATTATGATTGGAGCTTGGAAACGTTATACATTTAGACAAATGCACAATAACGTTTTGATCGGCAGCTTGCTTTATCCACACACCTACCGAGAAATGCCTATCCACCCAAGGTCATTTTTAAGGATTTAAGTGCTGCAGTACCTTTAGCTGCTGTTCAAATACTGCCCTCCTGTGGTAGCTTATTAGGTCGACTTGAATAAAATGCTTTTTTCTTTTCTTTTTTTAAATACCATGGGTATATATAATATATTTATTTGCAATGTCTCTTTTCTCAAATAAATCACACTAATAAACCAAAAACTACACATTTTACTATCGGAGAATGTTGACATTTGAGATATTTAGTGAGCGTGTGAAGGCTATTTACTAAATTTGACCGGGAATGGACACAATACAGCAAAAAAATAAAACATACAAAATGACACATTCAAATAGACACTCAATTAATAATACATCTCTAAATAAATGATACCTTGTAAAGGGTTTATTAGCCTATTGTGAGATATATTCAGTATGCCTATATTCTATGGAGATTATAAATCAAATGAGGTGCCTGATTACAGGACACAGAAGATGCTGGTGCTTTTTGTGGAATGTATGTACATTGTTTTCCCACCGCAGTCCACTTCTTCCTAAATAAGTGAATCACACATGAATACTATTTTACAGATGGCTCAGTGTATGATTGACAGATGCTCCGAAGTTTTCCACCCACTTTCTCAACCAATCAGGAAGAATGGGCGGGCCTCCAGAGTAATCTTTACAAAATGGCGACTGTTGTTGTTTTGCCGCAGGGTCAGTGAATAAATCCGTTTTTCATTTCAATCATTCTCTGCATTTATTTGCAGAAACAACAGTAAAAAGCCCAGGCGTCCCGAGGGGTTGGCTCCGTTTGGACTGAAATGAAAGGTAAAGAGCGATCGCCGATTAAAAAGCGCTCTCGGGCCCTGGACGATATACGAGACCGGGGAGGATGCCACCCGACCAGCAAGAAAATGGGGGCTCTCTCCGTGTCCACCGGGAGTAATAATGGGAATAGCTCGACGAAGAACGACGGCAGTTCGACGAGAAGGAGTCTGCTGGGTGAAAAAAGAGACAGAGATTTCGATGGGCACAGTCGGACTGGAAATAATCATGGCTGTCAGTCTGCAGTCGCCAGCTCCGTGGGTAAAAACCACAGCCTGAGCCTAACGCTGGATTTAGCCCCAGCGAGGACCACCTCTCGGGGGGAGCAGCGGGTGCAGCCGCCCGGCGCAGAGAGTGAGTACAAAACCCTCAAAATAAGCGACCTGGGCACCCAGCTGAACGACGAGGACATAGAAGATGGACTATTTCATGAATTCAAGAAATTTGGAGATGTGAGCGTCAAGATAAGCCGCAGCAACGACGAGCGGATCGCGTTTGTGAATTTTAGGAAGCCGGAGGACGCACGAGCTGCAAAGCACGCGCGGGGCCGGCTGGTGCTGTATGACCGGCCGCTGAAAATCGAGGCAGTGTACATCAACCGGAGGAGAAGCCGCTCCCCTGTGGAGAGAGACTTGTATGGTGCAGCTCCCAGCCACAGACATTTGCAGAGACCCCTCTCGCCCACCGGGCTGGGATACAGAGACTACCGGCTGCAGCAGCTGGCCCTGGGCAGGCTGCCCCCTCCCCCGCCTCCCCCTCTGCCCAGAGAGCTGGAGCGGGACCGGGAGTTTGCCCTGTTTGAAGCCAGGGCACGACCAGCTTTCATTGCAGAGCGAGCAGCCTTTCGAGAAGAGGATTTTATATCTCCAGAAGATGACCAAAGAGCCAATAGGACGTTGTTTTTAGGCAATCTGGACACAACTGTGACTGAAGCAGACCTGAGGAGAGCTTTTGACAGGTTTGGGATCATAACAGAAGTGGACATTAAAAGACCCACACGGGGACAAACTAGCACATATGGATTTTTGAAATTTGAGAATCTGGACATGGCTCATCGTGCTAAATTAAGCATGTCTGGCAAAATAGTGGGCCACAACCCCATAAAGATAGGCTATGGGAAAGCAACTCCCACTACACGCCTGTGGGTTGGGGGACTTGGGCCGTGGGTTCCTGTTGCTGCCCTGGCAAGAGAGTTTGACCGCTTTGGCACTATAAGGACCATTGACTTCAGAAAGGGGGACACTTGGGCCTACATTCAGTATGAAAGTCTGGATGCTGCACAGGCGGCATGCACACACATGAGGGGCTTCCCACTGGGGGGTCCAGAAAGAAGACTTAGAGTGGACTTTGCTGACACTGAGCATCGGTACCAGCAGCAGTTCCTGCAGCCTCTCCCTATACCACCATTTGACATGGTGGCAGAGTCTTTTGTCCACCGAGCCACAACTGAACCCCTGAGAGTCAGGGAACGGACTCCACCTCCGCTTCACTTCAGGGAGAGAGATCTCTTTCCTGGAGCTGAGTGGCCCAACCCAGCCATCCGAGATCGGGTTCGAGCGTCACCCTTTGAACCTCTGGAGCACTTGGAACGTGAGCGACGGGCACGAGAGCCCTGGTCTTTGGAGCGAGAGCTGCAGGGACGAGAACCTCCACGCAAGCGGCGTGCAATGGAGGATGGACGCCACATAGACCCCTCCCCTGACAGCACTGACAGAACTCTAAGGCGTAGACGTGCTTCTCCAGATGGCAGTCCTGAAGGTATCAGCAGAGACGGAGGGCGCTTCAGTGACCCAGAGCGGCCTCTCCGGGGAGAGAGACCCTCCCCCGCAAGAGAGTGCCACAGCAGCCTTGAAAGAGGCGGGGCTGAGCGGAGACTCAAAAGCCAGAGTCTCTCTGACAAGGGACCTTCAGGCAGCGGCGTTTCAGCAGTTGGAGATCGTAAGCGCAAAGCAGGGGACGGTGGTAAGGGGCCGGCCAAGAGGGAACGTCCCGAGAGCAGTTCCAAGGGGGGCCAGGCATCCAAACCAGATGGCAGCAAACTCAGTTTGGCCTGGCATGGCATGCTTCTGCTCAAGAACAGCAACTTTCCAGCCAATATGCACCTGCTGGAGGGCGATCACAACGTGGCCAGCGACCTGCTTGCCGAGGGCACATCAGGAAGGCAGGTGGGCGAGCTAAAGATCACCCAGCGTCTCCGTCTAGACCAGCCCAAACTCGACGAGGTGTCCCGGCGCATCAAGGTGGCGGGTCCCGGCGGCTACGCCATCCTGCTGGCAGTTCCTGGTACCACAGAGGATTTATCTTCATCAGACCCTGCAGCATCAACTCAGCGACCGCTCCGCAACCTGGTGTCCTACCTCAACCAAAAACAAGCAGCCGGAGTCATCAGCCTGCCTGTGGGAGGGAGCCGGGATAAAGACAACACGGGGGTTCTTCATGCTTTCCCTCCCTGTGATTTCTCCCAACAGTTCCTGGATTCCTCTGCCAAAGCTCTGGCTAAAAGCGAAGAGGACTATCTGGTCATGATTGTGGTTCGTGGAGCATCTTAAAAAAAAAAAAAATCAGAACTCTCGAAGTTCAAGTGGTGTTTAAAAAAAAAAAGGAATCTGCCGTATGTCAGTAACTATTGCATGCTGTGTGTTCTGCATTATAGGGTACACTAGTATGGTTCCTTAGTGTTTGTATGTTGCCATGTAATCCACTCAAAGGACAAATGGTGCCCTCCTACAAAACTAAAAGGATGTGTGTTTTGGAAATTATTTTTAAAGGTTGTATGAATTGCTTACAAAGTCATAAACCTGCAGTATTTCAGTCAAAATACAGGAAAATATGAGGAGCATTCATTAAATACATTTCAATTTCATTTAAAAATAGTATACCATTAAACAATTTTTTGGTTGATTTACCTGTTGAACATTTTAGCTTAGCCAACTCTTCTACAAGAAAACAAATAGAGAATTTACAAAATGCATTGAGTGGACACAATAACACCTCTACTACAGTTAAACCAAAAACAATAGCCTCCAAAGCTACTATAGTGCCCCTTTCACTGTGTTACCAAAAGCTGGAAATAACGAGCTTAACACAAATCATGTTGGTGTCTGGGCTATCATTCTGCTATCCCTTAGATTGTACAGTTGTTATTGTGTCTACATCCAAAACAGACATTTAAATTAGGAGAATTAAAAAAACATATTTTTTAAATCTTACAGCGCAATAACATTTCTACTATATTCACTTTTTTAATTAATGGAAACAATAATGAGACATTTTTGGAGGTTTTCATTGAAGGTGTAGTAGTTGAGTTGGTACTGCAAGGCCAGAGAGAGAGTCCTGGTCACACTTCTCTCCTTCAGCTCTCCAGGTTTCTAGATATCTCGCCTTCATCAGGCCTTAAATATAACAAAATAGCTTAGGACATTTGGTGAATGGTGTGTGGTGCGCTGAAGAAGAGTTGTGATGTGTTTTGAAGGTTAAAGCGTCAATAGTGAAAGCTCACACATTACCTTGGTTGCAAATTATGTTTAAAAGTTACAAATCCCTTTCAGGTTCATGGTTTTAATTAGAGAGTATATTTTATTCATGTGTTCCTCAATATTGGAATGCCAAATTGCAAGATCGATAATGAACTCGGTGTGTGTTCACTGGTAAATCCAAATTGTTACATCAACTCTATGTGAAATGCTGAATACTAACAGTTATTCGCCCAGGGAACAGCCCATAACACAACACTCATAGCATAGTAAAGCAAATACTAACATGTTTTCATATTTTAACTTCATATTTTACTTTGTGCATCCCTACCTTAGAAATGGTTGTGTAATGTGATCTATAAAAAACTACAGTAGTAATGGATAAAAAAAAGCGTAGAGAGTTTTGTGTTGTTTCATTTATTGCTCTGAAACAAGTAGGTCCTCTGATAATAATATTCAGTATCAGTAATATGTTGGTACAAAGTTACAGGAATTTGCTATTTGTTCAGTAAGTAGGTCTGTGTAAATCAAAGTTTTAGAAATTATTTAACAGTCCGTGTTTGAATTTTGATTTTAGAGGTATAAATTGGACTATATCTTACTCATGCCTGCCAACATGTTCCCAAGGCCTACTTACCGTATTTAGTTTTGCCATTGTATGTTCGTCATGCAATAGTAACCCACCCTGAATTATGTTTTGCTGAGTTTGGTTTAATATGTATTGAAAACATTAATATGTCAGAAAATGGTTACACCCACTTCAACATTGGACTCTATGTGGAGACGAGTGCAGAGCTGAAACCTCTGCAGAGATGTTTGTGAGTCCTCACTAAAGAGGCTACTTTAAAGTTGTGTATCCCATCTGCACCTGTGATGACTTCTGTTTTAAAATGGAAAATTGAGCAATGTACACTTTGATGTCATGGGAAAGGAAAATCCGTAGAGCCCATGCGAAGCTGTTCACATACCTGCAAGTGCGTTTGGGCACTTAATGTGACCGATTATCAATAAATTGTTCATTTGAAGGGAAACATGTTTCTTCGATGGAAGTGAATTGAAGAAAAACGCTGCACTGCCTTATTGTGTTTCGAAGGAGTTGTCACTCAAATTTGGTTCTGCACACGAAAAAGGGAGACAGTTTGCAGTTTGTTTAGCACCGGTGAAGAGAGACCCCGTTTCGTGTGAGGATCGCTGTTTGCTTACAGGCCTGTTCTGAGCTCGTGAGTCTTAAATTACTCCCTCATGACCCCCTGTTATAACCTCAACGTTTCCGGTTGGCATGTGAACACCTGATCAGGATGGAGGAGCCCCCGCTGCCTCTTGTGAGCAGCCAGTTTTCAGTGTGAACCAATGATGAAGTTCGGGAGTCGCGGGCGGGAGCAAACAGCAGCCCGTGCAGTATCCTGTTGTTTTACTCTAAAGCTGTTCATTTGCATTGTTCCGGGTTCTGAATAGGAGCGGAGGAATTCCCATCACCGGCCGTCACACACTCCGCATGGGAGATTGTGGGTGACACTGCTCTGAAATGTTCATAGCAAGCTGTCACCCTGCAGAGGCCAAGCTGAACCACTGGGCTCATTTGTCTTTATTATACTTTGCCCAGTTATGATTTGACTTAATTTTCGGCTCAGGGCAGTGGATTGGCCCAGCTAGGAATATTGTTGGTGTTCTCCTCTGATTGAACCCTCTCCGAGGAGACGAGTGAAGAAGTGTGTTCACGCCATCGTCTGCCGAGGTCTGCTGCAGCATGGAAATGAAAACTAGCAGGCCAAAATGTGTACCCTTTTTGACACTCATGAAAGGAATCCACATGGGCGGACCCCCCTGACCCCCACCCCAAATTCTTCTAGGAGACCTGTTTTTAATTTTAAGGCCACATTACACAGGAATGAAAGTTCTTCATTTCCTCCTACCATCCATTTTAGTTATAGCACTGTGAAAACAAATGCTGTGCCCTGTGCTGTGGACACCTTTCTTCACTAGAGAAACATTGCCCTCTTGAGGACCATGAAGCTCCTGCTCCCCTCCCTCAGTCTACCTGACACACTGAGCACAGCAGACACCCAGGACAGAGCTGGTATCACTCTGCGACTGCTGTCTAGAAACGACATGAGGGTGAGTAGGGAGAAAAGGTGCTGCCTGCCAGCTCTGTATCGATGGCTGAGGCAGCAGAGGTAAGTATCAAGTGTCAGCACCACATGTTTTCCAGTAAAAAATGCATAATGGCTCACTAGTTTTTCAGCCAAAGTAATAACAGATTTAATGTCCACTGATGGTAATTGTGTAAGACAGCAGGACCATTAACTGCACATACTGCTGCTTCTGTCAGCAACTGGAGAAACAGCATAACAAAATGATAAAATGTCCTAAATAGTGTACATTTTAATACCTTAAGGTATAGTATACTTAAACAAAGTATTTTATTCCCATTCAGTGCAACATTTATGTAAAAGGTTGATATTTTACAGTTAATCTACTGCAGTTGTTGAACCTCCTTCCGATTCAGATTCAGATGATAATAAACAAATCCCTGCACATTCAGTGGTCTTTGCAGCCAGATGTAAAACCTAATGGGGATAGCTATCATTCAGTTATAGATTCATCATGTCATTCATTGTCAATAGCCAGAATCGGGACAGGTTGAAATGATCTAATGTGGTTAATGTGATGTGGTCTGTGACAAACCAGTGTAGGCTCAGTTATTAAGACCTCACTGTTTCACAGCAGGACAAAACAAAGCTTGACTGTATTAAGGGTTTACATGTCAGTAAGCCACATTATATTATAAATTATAAATGATTGTTGTTGGCTAAAGTATTAATATCAGTGAGTAAATATAATTTAAATGTAATATAATGACATAAGAAAACAGCTTTTGGCGCGAAACTGCATTAGAAGATGATAATGACTGCGTACGACAAATGAAAACATCCAGTAAATACAATTTATTAATATAAGATTCAACATTCCTAGACCTTATAAATCTATCACACGACACCAATTAGCTCTACTAATGTAGCTTATGAAAACATCATCAATATGTGGCTTATACCTGACTTACTGTGGCATCTGGCACTCACTGATACCTGTATGTTTTATAATCCGCTCCCTATATATTGAAGCTGAATGAGCAGCTACTTGCTAATTGTCCTGCCGCCACAATGTCAAATGATACGAAGAGTAAACAGAACTTATGAAACATGCATCACTCATTCATATGTACAGCTGTACAATGCCTGGTTTTCTGTAGGGTTTTGAGATATTAAGTTTTGTATTACATACACAGGCATATTATACCTTCATAAACCAAATATTTTAAAGATTTCACAAATGTTTGAAGACTACTTTGTGAAATCACTTGACCTACACCTGGAGAAATGAACAAAATGAGGTATGTCGAGTCTGGCCAAAGTTTTAGCATAATTCCAGATCAAATGTGTAATAATAATAATCCTTTAAGTTTCCAAATTATAACTTTGTTTATCATTACATTTTAAGGTCATATTTTTTGCTCATGTATTATTGTTTTACTTCTAGACAAACAGTAATCTGTAAAAGCCACATATGTCATATCTACATTTCACATTTGATTTATTTTATCCTTGCTGACTGCAGTGCAGTTTTTGCAGTATAAAAAACACTTACATTGATATGCGGTTGTTTAGCCATGACATTTCTAAAAACAAGTCACTAAACTTGCATTGACAAGCATTTCCAAATGAATTACACTGTAAACTGCTGACGAGACTAAAATATGTTTCCCAAACAGAGATCCACTGGACCGGACGCTTGCGTCTGGCCGCCGATAAACACACCAACAGGTGTCATCTACTGTAAGTGTTTGCTTTGATCAACACAACATTAACACACATTTGACAAATAATTACAAGCATGTGTTGGGTCTACTTTAAGCCCAAGATTAAAGTGAATGTTATAATTTAGATGAATAATTGTATTTGTTCACTTCTGTATGTTCAAAGTGTTAATAAAACATGTTGAATGTATTTGCCATGTGTTGAGTGTTTTTCTTTTCATACCAGATAGATAAAAGTGAGTGTGGCATCAGTTCATTTATTATCTGAATCACACAATAACAGACTTGAGTAACATGTCAGTTTATTACAGCTGACTGCGCTCTGTTACAAAATGAGAGAAGGACTTGGAACAGGATATCTATGATTGATTAAGCATATTTTCTAAAATATCAGTTTACAAACCCGGGAGCCAGAGTATAGTGACAAAACAATAATTTCCCATAAATGCATTTGCTGCAACAAAAACACCATCAATCCGAACTGAGCTCATTATCAGAGGAGTTTCAGACATTACCAAAGGGGACCAACACATTAACTCTTAAAATATCCTGAAGCAAGTATAATACTTCCAAATCAATATCTTATTTTACATTCTTCCAAAACATTTCATAAAAGATTTACTTGTACGAATATTCAGGGGGCCTCATTCACAAATGCGTACGGATGGTGAATGCAACTCGTGAGCCAAAAGAGCTTTTGTGCATGACTGTCGTTATTGAAACAATACAAAGAGCCTGGCTCAGTATTGTGAAAGTGAGATGAGGGGGAATAATGTGGTACTAATTTACTAATTGAGGCAGCATTCTTTGAGTAGAGGTCTTCCTCCGCCACGAGAGGGCAGCGTTACAAAACACATCTCTATCACTGGCTGCTGGGCCCTCAGTTAAGACTTCAAAGAAATGAATTAGTCACTGTGGTCTATACATTTCAACAGTACAATCCATTTGTACTTATACGTTTCAAGTTGTAGGTAGGTCTCTATTGTGTCTTTGGCTGACATCACAGGAAGGTTAGTAAAGATACAATACAGTACCTTGTAAGGCAAACAGTGGTAAAAAAACAAAGATAAACCTTCACTAAAAAAAATCAAACAACCAACGGACACAATATAATTATACATTGAATTGCCATCAATTGGCTGCTGCAGGCACTGTAAAGGCTGGGCAACAGTTTAAAACCAGCCCAGTTCATATGGGCAATATGGGAGAAATGCCTTTGAAACAGTCTTTCAGTGATTCACAGACCTACAAAATGAGACTTAATCACACACAATGACACAGAAACCCTGCTACACAGCAATACAACTGTGATCAACATATTTAGGAAGCATTCCTAAATCTCGAGCCAACACACCTTTTCTAACAGGAACTTGTGTATTTGCTCTGTTAAAAGTATGTGCAAGTGAGCTATCGATGAAAGAAATCTCTCTGTGTGCACTTGCATAGAACGGCTCACAAAAGATGAGCTAGACGTGACCGTTTTGTAGTATGGAGGTAAAGCATGATGTGAAGTGTCAATGTATTAGAAAAACCATTTAAATAAATCATTACTTTTCCCACAAAAGGAGAGAGGCACAGGATGGTTTGTAGTGGTTATAATTATTTTAAAATGTTACTACTGAGGTTGAGATAATAAAAAAAGTACAAACTGTAAACAGATTCAAAAGTGATCGAAGGGGTTGAACTGTCATCTAAAGTATTCGAAGGAGCAGAGGTGAAATCAGTGTACGTTTTAGATATAAAGCTGAAATCTGTGTTGGGGCTGAAAGCATTTAACATTTCCCATTTTGTTCCCTATTGGCAGCCATTTGTTTAATTTGATTAATGTGGTTAAACTGTCAGCTTAGGGATATAAGATGAAGGCAGCTGAGGTGAAAGCGAAGCAGTTGAACTGTCATGTGGGAAAAATGAAAGTGAGTGACCTTTAAAACCCTTCAGTGGCAGATAGTATGTAAGCAATGACAAGAATAATGTCAGGTGAATTACAAATGAGTTACCGTGAGGTGTCAGTTGAAGAGGTTTTGAAGTTTGAATAGTTTGCCCAACATGCTGCAGTAATTGCAAGACGAGAGAAGTGTCTCTAATATTAATAATAAAGACATAAATACAAGAAGATAATTATACCTCTAAATAGTAGCACATGCCATACACTCTACCCCTGTGCTTAAAATACACTTGTTGGGGCAAGAGATTAAACTACTGAAGCAGTTGCTCCTTTTTGGCTTTGAAGAGCAGGTTACATTTTGTGTCAAAAAAGTAGCCTGCAATTTAGTTGTTGCCAAATATCTTAAAGGTGCAGTCAGCGATTCTCATACACATTGTCAAATTCAGCAAATATCTGCTCAAGGCAGACTAGCTGTCATGTTTGATGAAAAAATATAAAAAGCCCTGGCTCTGTAAATTAGGAAAAAAATGGCCATAGAACACTGCTAATCAGCAACATGCTCCGGACAGGGTAAGAACGTGGGTGTATAAAGTGAGAGGGAGAGGGGGGGTTGTTTGGGTGTTGACTTCAAATATCAACCACCTTTCTCCAGAATTGCAGAATGCACATTTTAACCATCTGGCAGAAGATCACATGTATTACAGAATAGGTAAAAGTGCATACCAGTGAGTACAGGTTTATAGAAAATAAATGAGTATTTGTTCATGGATGTGTGCTTCAATTAATGCCATCACAGACATTAGAGGAGGATTGTGGATAACATGATTTCAAACTGCATAGCTTAGTTTCCAGCAATATACCGTGTAATGCAAAGATACTGTGTTCTTTTTGTATTGGAAAACAGATATGTTGTGTTTGAAGAAGTAGGCCTAATTGTTGCAAAGTAACTAATAATTAGTTGTGCTGGATAATATATATATACATATATATATATGGGATTATCTTTAGTTTGGATGCATATACCTCTAATAAGAACATGAATAAGGGTTACAATATATTGCAAAAAACACTAACATTTTGGCTCTTTAGAAAGTTCATCATCCTGACTATTGCATGTTCTCAGGCGTGGTAATGTGGTCTTCTCAGCCCGTTACACGGCTGCTGAAATAAGGGTCATTTGGGTCCCGACTTTAAGCTGGAGACCAAAGTCCAAGGTATGCGAGCCCATGGAAAGTTATGAGCATGCTGGTTCAAGATCGCAGGCCTCTCTGGGTTCATTCCTACACAGCGCCGTTCTGCAGGCGGTCGGGGGTGAAGCAGCCGTTGGTCTTACAGCTGCTTTCCGCTCTCGTGGTCTGGGTCACCTCTTTTCTGTCTTTCCAGCGATGAGCCAGAGGCTCCAGGAACAGCGAGACGGAGGAGAGCAGATAGCAGAGCCCGGCCAGGTAGAAAGAACAGTCGTAAGTCTGAGTGTAGTCGTACAGGAAGCCTGCAAGACACAAGCAGGACGTTTAACAGTCTGGTGATATAAGTAAGTAACATTTATTTATAAAGCGCTTTTCACAGACATAGTCACAAAGTGCTTGACAAAGCATTAAAACATCATACGAATAAAGACGTGCTAAAAACGACTGCCTAAGCAGGAATGTCTTTAAATGACAATGACAATATATTGATTATTACACTGAGCATTTCCATACATAACAACCAAAAACTATATATTTTTAAGAGCAATTGATTCCAGGTTGTATATTTACGTTAATGGCTATTACATTTTTTATTTAAGTTAACCTTCTATGTTTTGAATTTGATCCAAACTTTTAAACTTCATATGTTTACATTACAGAATGGGCAGGGCTCACATTGATAGCATGCGTGACTTCAGTGTAAAGTATACTGCAGGTGACACAAAGCTTTCTGTGTTCCTGTGTCTTTTGTCTTCTTGGACATTTCACTTCAGAAAAGTGACACCATATAAAAGGAAGGTATGGTTTGTGGTTGACAGACTATTAGAAGTCCTGAAGAGCTGGTTGTAACAAAAGCAATGTTATCACAACCTGTGGCCTAGAGGAGGGACCACTGTTTGCCTGCTGTTACTTTACGAACCACAGGGATGACAAACAGAGCCACATGCTATTTCCGTACCACGCTAAAAGGGGTCATAAGTCACATTTCAACCCGAAATCCATAAGCTTCTCTTAGGGGATTGCCTAACACACTGAGAAGGGTCAATAGGTTCAATGGAACCCCACGGTTTAACTGGGGCCAAACAATACCCAAGGGCACAAAGAGATTTTTTAAAATTATAAATACTAAAATATTCTCAGAAAAGGGAAAATAAGAGATTATCATGATGAAAGATGCTGTACAAGTCCTCTGCAAGAATGAGCGCTCTATATGTACACACCAGTTCATGTGTTACAGACATGATTGGCATCTGTTTTTTTTTCTGACTTAGAAAAAGCGTAGTTTGTTAAAAGGAATCTGCCACAACGATGGTGTAACGACAAACTGATTCCAGATTAGAAACAGCTCTCTTACACTAACAAGCGCAATCTGCCATCACTTAAACAAAGTGACTCAAACCCAGCCATGGACACAACGCTGTTATTCTACTTCTCTGACACGCTCCTAGGTAAGATTAAATTTGACCCGATAACCTCTGTAGGCATTTCTGTCAAAGCAACGCCAAAGTCCCCGTCTGCATTGATGGCTGCACCAACTATCGGTGGTTTTTCTCCTGTGTTTGAGTTTTCACAGTCCATAGTGACTGCCTACACCCCATGAAAATATGTGACACAACCACCCCCTAACAATGATATATGTTCATAATAAAAAGCTTATCTACCCTTACACTGATCACTCACTCTGAACAATGACATCATGGTTGCAATCCAATGCATGTGCAGTGCATATGTACGTGTTTGTTATTGTGTGCATGTCTGAAAGTGGGTAAGCACATGTCCGACAGAAGGTTTCTCATGTTGTTATTTTCTCACCTGCCAAAGGAGGTCCTGTGAGGCAACCCAGGCCAACGAAGAACATGGAGAAGCCCATGGAGTTGTTGAGTTTGTCCGCCCCGACAAGATCTACCTGCAAACCACAACAACGACACATTCAAGCTTTTGATGGACAGGATGGATAACCTAAAAAAGTTGCACTGTATTTAAGCACTACGAAAACAAATACCAGGGAAGCACACTTTAAACTAGGAGTGTATATGTGTCTAGAGGTATATTTTGCTTAACCTAAAAACAACACATGAGCAGAGACAACTAGTGCAGCCATGCAGTCTAAACTCCCTATAAAAACATTCAGAAGGGAGAATCATGAGAAGTTGGTGCGTTTAACATGTTTAGAGTACTATTTACTATTCTCCTAATGTAAATCTTTCACTAATATAGATTGGCCTAATCCTTAGTTTGCTTTGGCATATATCTCTGAGCTGAATTACAAAAATAATTGAATTATGTTCATAATGATAGCTCTGACCCCTGTGCTTAGCGCTCCTTTAACCACTTTGAGAGTGGCAGCATGTTCCAGGCCTGAGTTTGGGTGTTGGTGGTTGGGGGATCCTTTTATGTGCATTTTATTTAGAGGTCAAAAGTTGTTCTTTAAATACAGTCTGGCTTTTAACTGGAAAAAATAACATTTTGAGGTAAAATCACAAAAGCCCTAACCTGTCCAGTCAAACATGTTGAGGTTGAAGCATGTTTTAGGAGTGGCAGGCATGCAGCTGTTTTTATTTGTATTTATCATGTGGGTTCCTATTAAAAGCCTTCAGGGTGATTTTCATCCCACATGTGCCAACAAAATGTTAATCTGATAAAAGAAAAAACAGGTTTGGCTGAATCCTCCATTCACATTCAGAAAAAAAAAATCACACTTGTCAACAATAAGTCCGGAGGCATGTCCTGCCCTTTGAGATGGCACAATCGCCAAGTGAAATCACACAACACATTGCACGTCTTGATGCTTTTGTGATATGACCCAACGAAACTGTATACCTGCTGACTTAATATGTTGACCCATGACACCACTTGGGACACATATCCAACGGTCTTCTTCAAGGATACATTTCCCTTTCTGTGAGTGACACAATGATGTAATGAAGCAAAGTTCCACCCAAGGCTTAACCAACTTTCTCTCTATGACCTTCTCGCCCCTTTTCAGCGGCTGAGGTTATTGGTATGCATTGCTGAATTGTTATGACCAGTGATTAGTGTTGACTGGCTTGGTTTGAATATATTAAGAGGACTTGTACTTGTACTCATGCTTAGCAATAGTATTTTAGCATTGTCAGTGTTGCATGTTTGCGTAGCTCAAAGCACCACTCAGTCTAGTATTTAGGTGTCACTGGGTTAGCGGGGCAGAGGTGTGAGGAGAAGTGCAGATGGTTTGAAGGTTCTTTCAAATAAGTCAGCGCAAAGTGAGTTATTGGTATGTATCTTAGACCCTTAATAAGAACAGTTGTCTCAACGGGCTGCCAATCTGATTATCTTTATCTTGTTAACTACTGGAAACTTCTTTCCTTAAAGGTCCCCTATTATACTGTTTTTCATCAATATTATAGGTCTCAGTTGTATACAAAACATGTCTCTGAAGTGTTTGGCTCGAAATACCAAACAGATCATGCATTGTAGCATCCCATACACCCCTCTGTTTCAGCCCTGTTTCAAAAGTGTTGATTCTCTGTCTGTTAGAGAATGAAAATAAGGAGCCACTCCCCACGCCACGCCCCTCTGCTAGATATTTGGTTAAAAAGAACACAATGGTGCTCTAGGAGGAGATTCAGGTGATAAGGTAGGCGTGTTACCTTGGTTGGTTACTGGCTAATGGTTACACAAGCCAAAAAATCGTTATGACATCATAAAGTGGCCAACATCTGTGAGTGAATATTTTTTCCTGAAACTTTCAGAATCTCTTTACACAGAGGTATGTATGTTTATGTTACATGTTTATGTATAAAAGACAGGAAAAAATTGATTTTGCATAATATGTGACATTAAAAAGTAAAATTGTATGCCCATATACACATTTCCAATTTTTTCATTTGTGAACAAAGGACTATACTAATGGATGTACCAATTGAGCGCTGTCTCAACTTCCAACTTATTCTTACTTATTTACAATAAGCGACAAATGAGTCCACTAATTCCAATCTAAAAGCTTTACTGTGAATTTAAAGTTACCTGTAAAGTAGAGCATTGTTGAACATCTAAACCCTACTGTGCTAGATTCATTTGTCTGAGATAAAAAAATGCATAGCCATGTTCAGAGAGGGTGTTCTCCTTACTAGAACGGGCAGCAGCAGAGCCATGTATCCACCACAGAAGATGGCAAAGAAGACAGCGTAAACCATCAGCAGGATGTAGGAGGTTGCCAGTGGGGAGAGCAGATTGACCAGGCCACAGAGGATCAGGTAGGCCTTGTGATAATGGTATTTATGGAGCAGGTTCTTGTCTGTCAGCCAGCCGGAGGCCAGCTGTGCGATGGTCTCTGTGATACCTGCAATGGAGGGGGACAGGGCAGACTTGTAACAATCAATGTAAAACTGTGTCTTGGTGGTTTGAGAAAAGGGGTAAAAATGAAAGGCAAGTAAAAAGGAGATTTCCGTAAAAAGCTATTTTAGTAAGCAGTATAGTATACCTTGCTGTTTTTATGTATTTAACCAGACATACATACATGAATGCAAAAATCATTATTGATATGGAGTGGATTATATTGCTTGATTAAAGTAAAGGAAGATGTTCCTAACTGTTTCTTTAAGAAAGGAGTAAAAGAAGAGCGGCAGGCAGGGGAATGCTAACAATAAAATATTCAGGCAGTGACAAGAAGCTGCTCCTTGGTAATGGAGTCTTTGATGGAATCTAAAAAACAAGAGCATCGCTGCTCATTTCACCTTCAGATAAAAATGTCTTCATAACCAAGAAGGTTCCTATTTAACATTTAGGAAACAGATCCAGTCCAGACACACATGTCTAGGTAGGAGTATAATATACTACTGTAATGCAAGATACTTTTTTAAGGTATGGGTGCAAAAGTAAAACAAACACTATTAATGGTATTAATATCCATGCAGATTGTTCAGTCAGGCCTGAAACATCTCAACTATCTGCATTACCATAACATTTAGCACACATAACCATTTCCTCCTCAGTTATAATTGGAACATTGTCATTGAAAGCATGTCTTGTGTATCTCCAATCATCCCCATTCACCTGCCACACCTATATTTCCCCTCAAATCATATGCAGACATGTTGTTTTGAACTATGACATTGATTACGTAAAACAGTAAATATATTTGTCCTTGAGATGGTGTTCAGGTCATCCTTGAGGGACAAAGAACAAACACAGTTACAGCAGACTATGCGCATTTCGGCTGATGCTTAGTGACACAGAAAAAGTAAAACGTCAGCCACAGAAGTTACATGCAGGGAACTTGTGAGCATTTATTTAAAATCATGCAATTACTTAATTAAAAAAGTGTGGGAGAGTTGTACCGTAAGATATGGGTCAATGTGTATGTCTGTGTGTGTGTGTGTGTGTGTGTGTGTGTGTGTGTGTGTGTGTGTGTGTGTGTGTGTGTGTGTGTGTGTGTGTGTGTGTGTGTGTGTGTGTGTGTGTGTGTGTGTGTGTGAGACTGAGGGTGGGGCAAAGAAAGAATGTCAGGGAATAATGATGCTTTGCAACAGAGGTTTGCATTAATAACAAACGCTATGTCTATTTCAAGTATCAGTTGTTGTTGTCCATGAGAATGTTAGCTGGCAACATATCTATCTGTTAACATCTGTATTACACTGGCAACACCCAGGCAAACTACTCGTTATGCATTCCGTCAGATCTGATTGATTGTTTACTCCAGTCAGGTATGATGACTGGGCAGATATGTGCTGTTCTCTGCTGAGGTCAACTGGAATGTGATCGGCAGGGGAAACTGCAGTGGTGTATTGACCGCCGCAGGAATAGCTACAAGCAGGAGCACTGAGCCATTGATCAATGAAACAAACTGGTTCTATGCAGATCAGAGTTACCCATCCTTTGCTCAGCCTCTGCACCACAACTTCACATCCTGCAGCCACTGACACTCAGTTTGAACTTAAAAAATATGACAATAGATGGATCACTTAACATAAAGTATGTTGCTGAGTAATAAGGTAAGATAAGATGGACTTTTATTAATCCCTGTGGGGAAATGCAGTAGTTCAAACATGCATCTAATGCATGTAGATGTGTTTAATTCTGAATGAAGGTTAAATTAATCTACACATTAATCAAAAGATGGATGTCATAATTGAAGCTCCGCCTTATCTTCGCTCTTCAAGTCTTCGAAGGAAGTTCAGATGAATAAACAATGAAATGCCTCGTCAGTTAGAGCCCTAGCTTTTTCTTACATAACAGGCCACGAGCGTTTCTGTGCTCCAAGGTTAGAAAGATGACATGAGGCAGCTGTGCTGTGTTTATATGTCCTCCTCTAGCGACCCAAGACAGTGTCCTGGGGTGTCCCCTGCTTGCATACAGACAAGTTCTGAGTTTGTTTGTGTGTTTTAGCTTCAGCAGGTGAGTTCAGGGCTGCAGCTGTTCTTGGAAAAAAAAAAACCTGGTACACTGCAGTTTAAATGTGGCCTCTCTAAGTAGCACATTAAGCTTACTGCATCAGGCACCTTATTAATTCTGTCCGTAGTGCTGACAGGTATAGAGGTGTACACTATGTGCATGCTTCTTGGCATTAACAGACCACAGGGGGTTGTAAGGCTTGGAGAGGTGCATTTTTCTTTGCTTCAAAGAGGGACATTCTGTCACTAGAATAAAGCAAAGGGTTATAAAAGGCAGGTTTTCCCAGCTTCTCTGAGGTGGCAGTTGGCTTGTCTTGCCTCCTCTTTGCACGTATTGCTGCCTCAGGGCCGCTCTGCAAAGTATCAGCCACTTTAGAACAAAATTGGGAGCCTCTCATTGTCACCACGCCAACAACTTCACTCGGCTTGCAGTTGCTTAGCGACTGCAAGCCGAGTGTTGGTGGCAGAGGGTTGACCAAGAGAGAGCCCCGGACGATAGTGGCCTCCCTCCCTCAGCTGAGTCAATGGGCCTCTATGACAAGCGCTGGGTCGGGAAAAAGAGGGACAGCGGGGCACTTGGATGCTGGCTTTGTGGTGTGGGTAGCACCCCGTCTCTCTAACTCTGGCTCTCTTTCAGTGCAAATGACCAGAGAATATGACAGAACAAACATGTCCGAGCCAAAATAATCTGTCAGTCTTGCTGCTCGCTGGCACTGCTCGCTGGCGTGAAGCTCAGAAGTGTTATGGAACAGACTATCAGGGAAAATGTAGACATCTATATCTTTTGCTTTGGTTACAACTCTGACATTGTAGAAATTGGTTCAAAAGTTCATCATGCATTAGTTTCAGAGAATCCTTATATGGTGGTGTTTTATGGCACCTATCTTAGTTTTGTCTGAATCCATAAATGTTTCATTTTAGTTGCGTTTCTGCAGGTTTTTCATATTGCCTAGTTTCCCACCATTTTATCCAACAGTGTTGGTATCCAGCTGATACTGCTATCAATGCTGACAAAGGAAACACCAATCACAGGCCATTCCAGGGATAACTGAACAATTTAACTGTAATTTTTGTTGTGTCATAAAGACACCTTTCACCTACTGTCTCCGTCTTCAGATGACTGAATACTTGAGCACAGAATACAAAACAGAAGCATGTAACTCATAAACGCACAACTCCATCTGGTGCATTTCAATTATTCACAAAGTCTGACATGGCGCTCTTACAGAATGACATGCAAATGTGGTCAAAATGTTAATGCTGTTTGTGTGGCCTCATCGATGGCATACTGCTGAACCCACCCACCCTGGCCACTGGTCCAAAGTTCAGCTTTTATATAAGCACATTCATTACATAAGACTGCAGAGTCTGAGCAGCTCACAAATAATTAATGCCTAGAAGGAGACTGAGGATTTTTCTTTTTATCGCTTTTAAACCAAGAAACCTGGACATCCCTCTTCACAGTGGCAGTGAAATTCCTGCTGAAAGATAAAAGGCAGCAATCTACCTATCTATTCAATCAGGAGTGGGATGATTTATATAGAGCCTCAGTGCGGATCTATTTCAGACACAGTCACATGCAGACTGAAGACAGAAGATCAAATTACCTTTTGTCATGGAAACAGTTTCATTGATCAAAACCACCAGTTTAAAACAATAAGGTGTTGGAGACATGTGACAAAACTTAAAAGTGACAACCAACACGTGCCGTATGTAATTCTCCACTAATACGTTTTGAATACACTCCTGTGATCTTAAACAATTGAAATTGCTGAGCTGGCAGTTAGGTGAGTGGTGGAGGCTGGAGCTGGTGTTGAGGCTCAGGTTTATTCTTACCTGTAGGCTGTGATGTAGTGCTTTTTTGGTTGATAACCGGATTGCACCTATGATGCAAGAGCATGCATTCTCCTGCATGGTTAAGTAATGTCTCACATCAAAGGTTTTGTAACCGGTAAATCAGTCGGCATTGATTTATGATATCATTTATAGTACGAAATGCTTCTTCAGCTCATGAAATCCAGGACTGTTATGTTGACAGTGTTTACCATTATTAAATATTCTAAAAACAACAGCAGGCTGCTAAAGTACAACCCAGGCCCGGTTCTACGGGGGTGCATAAGCATGCATTGCACCCCCAGTTGAATGTTATGCACCCTCTATCCAAAAAAGAGAACGGAGCGAAAAATACAAACAACAAATTGTGTCAGGTGCGCGTGACCTGCTTCGCTGCGCGTGCATCATTTCCAAAGTGCTGTGGATAATCATGTATACGAAAATGGTTAAAGCAACCATCACTAAACGCCAGCAACACTGCATCTACTGCAGACAATAGCAACAGATCAGATGGGGACATCACGTTACCCGGCGTCGTGGACACTATCACTCCCGCCTGACTCGCCGCCCTCGCCCCCGGAGCAGCAGTCTTCCTCGCCCGAAACACCGCCACCCCTCGGCGGCCCGCAGGTGCCAGTATACCACGGCAAAACAGAGCCTGCCCAGGTATATCTAAACTAGTACCCAACTCGCCTGTACAGTGGGGTAAGGCGGTCATTTTGCAGCTCGTGGTATAAAAATAGACAATGGCTAGAATATTCATGTGAAAATAGTGCCATATTCTGCCATGCCTGTAGAAATGTTGGATTAAACATAATGCATACAATACCACAGATGCCTTCACCACGAATGGCTACAAAACTATCTCATATCCCAAGCTTATCAACAAGCTAATGTTGCAGCTGAAATGTTCTCCAGGTCACAAAGTCAACCTCACATGATGATGTGATACCAGTTTTCGAGCACAGTAAATATTCTCTTCCCAGAGTATATGATGGGACCTATATGATGGGACAAAGGTGATGTATTACATGGTTTTAATAATACATTTGCCTTTCAATGTTTGCCATTTCAAACCATGAGCTGGTTCAAATAATATTTGCCTTGATTTACAATATGTTGGACTGGATGAAATATTGCAGGACATACACTTGACATGTTCTCAATTGCTTGGTTTCAAAACATTACAAATGCCATAATCTGTTCATTGGGGACCATAACATCAATGCTATTTTTCATTGCTGTTGCCGGCCACTATTGCTCACGTAAACCTACTAGTGCTCCACGTCCACCCCCTGTAATCTCAGATGCACCCCAAGTCATTTTATTCCGGAACTGGGCCATACAGACCTAAATAGATCAGTCAGTTATTATTTGATATTCTGCTTTGTTTTGTTGATATTCTGTCTCTGTTAATTGTAGTCTATTTATGACTGGCTATTTTTAATCTCTTCATTCCTTTGTTTAAATTATTACGAAACAGTGACGAAACACACAGGTTTTACTACAACTATTTTTTAGAATTGTCTTCGAAGGTTTAGTTTGATATTTCAGGAAATAGTTATTTTATACAATCTGAAACATGTTTACCAAAGTTTTGAACTTCTCGACTTTGAGAGTGCCAAGCAACCAACAAAGATTCAGGCAAATTACCACAAAACCACAAATGGACATACAAATAAATTATTGTACTGATTAGACAAACAAGATATCTTGTCTAAATAATGAGCTTTAGAGTTCCTGGTCCTTAGTTTGCAGCTACATATTTATTTTGCTGGATTTGAATGGTATCAATCTTCTCATCTAACTTTTGTCAAAAAAAGGGAATAGGCTTTATTTATCAACATTTCTAGTGCAACTACTGTAGTAGGTACTAGGTGTATCTTAAAACACATAGTATAACGTTATGTGCAATGTTTGCCTCACCTGCCACAGAGATGATAAAGGAAGCATCCATGGCACCAATGCCCAGGGTTCTGGCTCGGGCAGACAGGTGGAAATATGGGATGAAGTAGGCCAGCTGGCTGAAGACCAAGGACCAAGTGTAGATACAAAAAAATGGGTCCTTCAGCAGGGAGAAATCCAAAACTTTGGCATTTGTGACCGTCACCTCACTCGGTGTGCTGGCATGCGACGTCAGTCCAACAATGGTGGAGCCATTCATGCTGCCGTTAACCTCCGCTGAGCTGTCTGGTGTTGTTGGCTTACACTGACCTAAGTCATTGTGGGCCTCATGGCCATTTACACCATTAAGGACCAGTCTTGTCAGTTCAGGGTTTGCGGACAGGTCCGGGAGCCCTGGAGTACATTGGCCCCCCGGGTTCTCAGTGTCCCTGTGAGGGGGAGGAGGAGAGGATGGGGTTGAGTCTGCTTTGGAGATGCCATTGGATAAGTGAGAGGAGCCATTCAAATAGTTCTTAGTGTATTCCTTCTCCGAGGAGCTCTTGAGGGAAACAGCCGGGCTCTTTTGAATGGGAGAAGAGGTAGGGTTGGACAAGGGAGACTTCACATTGAGTGGTCGCAGAAGCATCCCAGTAGCCACCAGATTCAGCATAAGACCGCCAAGAATCAGCATTGCACCTGTTCGGGACAAAGAGGTGTCAGAAATCAATATGTCACCTTGTATATTTGCAAGGTTACACATACTAGTATTTCTTCTTACACAAAAAAGCAAATACACCAGAAAACATACTCACATACATTAAATTATTAAATTATTTACAGATTATTCCTGCATACCTTGCCAAGCATACTTGTCCAGGAGCAGCTGAGTGAAGGGAGCAAGGGCAAAGGTCAAACCCATCCCAGAACGCCCAATTGCATAAGCTGTCGCTAACCTCTTTCGGAAGTACATCGCTGTGACCACTGAGAAGGCTTGGTATAGTAGTGCAAAACCAATTCCTAGGAGGACAAAAAAGAAGATTACTGTGATCAGACAGTATGTCCAACACATCAATGTGAGCAGACAAGAGAAAAAAGCATTTAGATAGATGGTTAGATTGGATTTCAAGCAAAGCCCATCCTTTGTTTAGCATTGTGCTTTCAGAGTCATTAAGGAAACAGCATGTTTGAGTCCCTGATACTTTCAGCCTTGTCCCAAACTTCTACTCACCAACTATCATTCCCATGCTGACGTAGAGGTACACTACGCTGTGGGCAAATATACTCAGGATGAAGCCTCCACTAACCAGCACCGCCCCGGCGATGGAGGTCGCCCTGGTTCCTAGCTTGGCACAGGCCACAGAGGCAATGGGTGCTGCGGAGAATACAGGAGAGAAAGCACAAAGACCAAGATCATATACCTTTTTCATTTTCTGCCTGGAGACATGCAGAGAGTAGTAGCTTCAAATTAGTTTAGTTTAGTTTATTTATTTATAGTGTTGTGGACAGTCCCCATCGATGAACTGTCACAAAAACAGTAAATGGTGCAGCTTTAGCCGACATGGCTAATTTCCAGCTGTTGTCCCCGGCCAGATGGTAATAGACACCCTTAAAATTAAAAAATGTTAAACGTTTTGTTCTCTTCTTGTACAGAAAGGAAACAAATAAATAGAAAAACATCAGAGATATTATTTTTATATCCAGTCTATAAACTCAACAAAAAGCTGTGTAGGGGGGCCTTTTTTCAGATACAAACCTCCAGACAGACGCAGACTGGACATGATGGAACCAATCCAGCTGATGCTCTCAGACGAACCACCAAACTCGTCTTGGAAAGCCACAAAGAAGATCCCAAAACTCTTCAGTGTTCCCATTACGAGGACATTTACCTGCACACACACACAAACGGGAGAGATGAGATCAGTGCCAGCAGAGACTTCATCTGAGGTAAATGTATTTATATTTATATTTATATTTTATTTATTATATTTTAAAGCTTGATAAGGGTTCTTTTTACAGGCTTAATTCATTATGTGAAACACACATTATGGAAACTAAGGAAAATGAAAAATGATATATGAAACAAACAAATATACATTGAAAAGTATTTTTAAGTAATTTGTTCAAATGTAGTTTTTCACTGCCATTACTCGTTGGGTGTATGTTGATTAAAAAATAACACATCATTGTCTAAAAACATTTCGATCACAGTCTTTTGGAGAGCGTCTTTTAAAGAATAATTGCACTGGTCAAAATTGGGCAAAGAAATGTTCGAGATGTGGTAACATGAATAACAGAGGTGAACATACCAGGAAGCAATGCAGCACCACCATCCAGCCCCAACCTCCATCTGGAGGGTCCTCATACTCGATCTCTTTTTCCTTCTCCTTCTTCATGGTCATGGCATCCTTCTTAAACAGGTTCATGGCTGCCTTGGTTTCACTAGGACGAAAAATTAAGAAAACATGAATAACTTCAGAATGATTAAGGCTGTATAACAAGACCAATCAAACACATCACAGCTGAGCCTATAAAGAATCAAAGAGTGTGGCATATCAAGCAGGGACTTTCTCAAAAAAATGTATTGATATGAATTACTTCTTCCTTAAAGTGGTTTACTTTAAACAACTTTCAAAAAATGGTTGTTCAAGATGATCAGAAATCTGATCAGAAATCATTCTGGCCAATTAAAAAGGACAAAGGATGTTTGAGATACATTTTTTATCTTTACGTAACGGTGAATAATACAACTGTGAGGGTAACTGACAGTAGTGCTTTATTAACTTATTAAGTCACTGATCTGTGAAACAGGACAGTTAGAGTATACAGTAGTTAACATGGTTACTTTTCCACCTCTTTTGCTCACATTACAGCTACTGCACTAGACTCAATAACTCAGCAGTGTGCCAATACATAATCATGTCTATCTTTAAGCTCCCCATCAGCACGTAAAAGCGTGTCCTCACAATTGGGCTAAAGTTGGCCTCAAAGGTGATGATGTGTTAACTTTTTGATGTTTCAATTTGTGAACTCAAAACCCCTGAGGCAGATAACTGCAGATTGAAACCTAAAAAACCCCACACCTCCTTCTACAAATTGACTTTTTAACAATTTAAAACCACAAAGGTGCTGCGTAAGTGTGATTTTGGATTTAATTATTCTGGACACAAGAATTGAAGCTGCAGTAATAACTCTCCTTCCATCCCATGCTGATACAACAGCACTTTTGTGTAGTTTACTAAGTTAGGCTACAGAATACCCAGAAGAGCCAGTAAAGCCCTGATGACAACGATGCAGCAGGATGTTCTGTTCTGGAACATGGCGCTGGAGGTGAAAACATGCTCATAATATATTACTGAGTGAATTGATTATTGAATGATTCTTTAACTAAATGTCATGGGGTTAAGACTTGAAGAGTGAACCTGTTTTTTTAGGAGGGGATTGAGGAGTGACTGGTGTTGAGAGCCAGCTACTAGAGCTTGACTTGGCACCACAGCAGGAACATATGACCTTACATTTGAGCCTTTTCTGGGACATGTTTCAAGTGGATTCTCCTCCCAGGACTTTGACTTGCATCTGCAGATTTGTATTCAGTATGGTTTAAAGAAACATGCAAGACGTTGTGTATTCATGCACAAGCTCGAACCATGTCAAACAAGGACAAACAGATCAAATACTCAAGAATAATGTCTGATGAAACACAATTAACAAACAAATACTGATCAATATTAGGATTTTAACCAAAATTAAGTCAACATTAAAGCTGGATGCAAGGTTGGAGTTGTACAAATGGCAAAGGGTAAAACTCTATCTACTATGTTATGTCTTATAGTAAGCATCAGCACTGAATCACAGGGTCATATATGATCTGTTGCAGGTGAGTATTGATGCACACTGGCTGGTTTTATAGTATACAGGTTGTTGTGCAGATTTTGGTGATTATAAAATGACATGGCAAGTGTCATGACATTGTATAATGTTGTTTCCTGTTTTATTGTGAAATGTATTATTTCCTTTTGTCTGGTCTTGTTTTACTTTTCTTTGGTTTTCCCGCCTGTGTGATTGTCTGATTGTGTTCACCTGCTGACCCTGTGTTTCACCTGCTCTCTCCAGCTGTGTCTAGTCTCTGCTGTGATTAGTCTTGTAAGTATATGCCTGTCTTCCCCAGTGTTTGTCGTCTATGTTCCTGTCCTGTTTTCCCCGAGATACTGCCTGCGTTCCGGACCTTTGCCTGGTCTCCCTGTTTTTGTGTTAAACTATTCGGGTTCATCAGCTTTGTTAAATAAATGCTTGCTTTTAATTAGAAATACCTGCCATCTTCTTTTACTGCCTTTGGGTCAAACATCCTGCCAAATCCTTCCAGTAAATCTGTTCTGCTTATATGTTTTTTCTGTCAATGAACAGGCAATGTTGTTTCCATGCAAAGATAGAAAAGCTTTTATTCTGCTTTACTTGTATCATTGACCAGGCAATATAGTCTTAATGAACCCTGGAATAATCAAGGTGACATGTCTTGCATAGCCTCAGATGCTGGAGAGCAAAGAAACCTTGAGCAAAGTAAAATGAGGGGGCGTGATAAACCTCTGTTTAACACCAGTCTTTTATAGTTTGCATCACTTACTCAGTCCGACTAAGACATGTATAAGGAGCAGAAACCACATTAGGCAGAGCACACATGCGGCTTTCACACCAGCGCTTTTCCCTTTCTAGCTCCGAGCTAGAGCTTTTCTGGTTCAGCTCCGGTTTCCCTTTTCTGCTCCCGCTCTGTTCACACCGCCCAGCACCCGACTGGTGCTGCCGCTGCTGCGTCATGACGTCACCGTTTACATCGCTGATTTGCTCCCCAACGGCATTACGTCGCTCACAACAACGGGGAACTGCGTCGGGTCGATGATCGTGTTGCTTTTAATCACACGAAGCCAGATTAAATTGAATAACGACTTCTCCAACCTTATACTTTGCTCCAGAGTGCCGTGGTTCATTGTTTATTAATGTGTTTCTGCAGCATTTACCGACCGCTGCAGTGTTGGCTGCTCTTCCACAGGAGTTTATTCTCCTCCGTTAGCTCCCGGTTAGCTCACACTGCAGCGGCTGCTCTAAAGTATTCACTGTCCGACTCACACAAGCAGCTGATACATATCCCCAGTTCCCCTTAGCCTAAGTGAATGTGTGTCAGTCTGAATTGACGCTGTTTGGTTTCACAACACTGTTATGAAAGTTTCTCTGGTATAAAATGTGTGATGTTAGCATAGCAACCGAAGCTAAACTGACTACTTGCTATTGCTATCCTATTGTGGCATAAACCGTTTTCGACAGGCACATTTTACCGGCGTATTTTTATTATGATTCTACTTGTGATAGTCGGACACGACAACCTGTGCAGAAAAACAAAACGTCTGCCTCTCTCCACAATGATCAATAACAGTGAACGGATGGTCAAAGTAAGGTACACATAAACAGAATCACACGAAGCCTGGTTAGTGTTGCCTGACTTTATAAAGTGTGTTTATAAGCACTACTGCTTGTAGGCAGGCATGACAGTCGACCCATGTTCAGGGGAGGTGGGTTTAGTTTCCTACACGCCTCGACGTAAGAGAGACGTAAGCGACGCCACCTCTTAGCTCCGAAGCTCTTGCCTCTAGACCGACAATTTTTTGGAGCTGGAAGTGAACCGGATTCCGGAGCTAAGAGCCGGCGCCGCTGCGGTGTGAACAGGAAAAACCGGCGCTTTTCAGGCTCCAGCTCCGAGCCGGAGCTGAAAAAGCGCTGGTGTGAAAGGGGCAACAGAGCGGATTAAAAGGGGAATGAATTGCGCCAGTGTACTGTGAGGAGTATTTCTCCGCCTTGGGCTGCACACACGTTGTCCTCAGAGTGTGCCTGAGTGCATGTTTGTGAATGTGCCGGAGATCTGAGGGTTGGAGCGATGGGGGATTGGAGATCAGAGCTTTGTAGTTTGGTATTAACACTGTTACTGCACACTTCCTCCATTTTTTTTAATGAGCTTCTATTCTCAATCTTAATGTTCGACTTTAGTAAGGTTATTGGTGAATAATGTCCTCCATAATATGTGCCCTTAGGGAGCTATACATCAGTTATAGAGATATGTCGTATTGTTCCTAAGGAACAAAAGTATTAAGAGATTGTTTTAATTTCCCTTACTAAAAGCCTGATTAACAAGTCCGACTTTGTGCATGAAGTATTGACTGACCACTCTGAAAACGCGCTTTTTAAATGGGCCCTCAGGAGTTTTCTTGTAAACAAGAATTATGTTGACGTTTAGTGTCTCTCACCAAAACACATTATTTGCATCCTTGAGCTGTAAACCATTTGCTGCTGTTGTTATGACAACTATTGATCAGTTGAATAGTGTGAAATTATAAGGAGGAATATGTATTGCACTATGAGGGAGGTATGAAAGGACTGGGTGATTTTAATAAATCACACAAGACAAGACGTTTGTCCCAATCTAATATAGAAACATTTCAGATCTGAAAGTTCCCAAAGAACACCTGTCAGTCAGTAGGCAAAATGGGAATTTTTCCGAAATCTAAATGTAATTTTGACAGAAAACTACTGTTTGTTATGATGTGGGAACAGGATGACCCCACTGCCTCGCCCATCGGCAGGGGTTACTAGTGCAATGACAAGGTTATGATCCTTCGCAGATGACAAAGCTGTCAGCTGTGTTTGTTGGAATGCACGATTGCGAACTGCAGCAGGGTGAGTGTGTTTGGACTCTGCACGCCCAACCACTCGTTTTGATAATTATTTGACATGTAGTTGAGTTAGTTTGTAAATGTCCTCAGCAGTTTTCTTATCTTTGTTTTGAAAGTAAGTAATGGAGCCGTGCTTTAAGTTAAATTACATCATAGATTGTATCTTTTGGGTTGTAATAAAAACCTTTACAGAAAGAGAAACACAACATGCATGATGATGAATAATTAGGTCAGGATTGAGCAAGATCACTTTTAAAGACATAGGACACTGGACAGGATTGTATCAGAGTAGCAATACAAACTTGAGAGGTGGAAAGGAGAGACAGATGGATTTACCAGGAAAGAAAGTAGGTCAGAGACCAACCAGTTTGCCCACCAAACTCCAAATTAAAATTCCAAAAAAGAAGAGATGAATCCTTTACAAAACCAAAAGTGCATTGGCATTGATTCACATAATGGAGAGATAGAGATAGAATTGGAGGGATGAAACCCCTCTTTAATGGTCACACATGCAGAGCACACAGCACAAACAGTGACATTTGGCCTCTGCATTTAACCCCAGGCAGTGGCGGTTCTAGACCACTTTGACTGGGGAGCCACGCTGGGGCCAGTTATTTTTCTGAGGGTGGCCCAACAAATGCAGGACGAAAAAGACAAAGACAGTATGAAGTAATTGCGCATAAGAAAACAATGCAATACAGTTATTGGTATTTGTTTCATTAAAAAAAAAAAAATTATTTAAAAAAAAAAGAAACATTATTTTTATTTTTAATGAACAAGGTAAATATTACATAGTTGGTATCAGTCAAATGTATTATCTACAATACAATCTCGTTTAAAATTGTGTTACGATGTCTAAAGTTACTGATAAGCCACATGTTTCCTGCCTGGCCGCAGCGTGTATCATTACCCTCTCTCGTCTGGGCGGCAAGAAAGGAGCCCTCAGCCAGAGCAGCAGCAGCCAACACATTGCTGACTGTTGCTATCTGTAAACTATGCCGCCGAAACATAATTTCAGCCAATCAGTGTCGTCAGATCTGATGCTCACAGGGCGACAATTTCAGCGCCCGATGCAGTCTGTGAGTTGTTTGGACTCATATCCAAGGTGACGCTACAGTCAGTAGTTGATGAGGATGGCTGCGTCTGCAGGTGGAGACTCTGTGTACTAGTGGATCGCCGGAGCTGTAGATTAATATTTACATGCTTATTGTAGTTGTAAGTGCAATGCCTGTAGCACCATGGAACATATGTGTGGGCTGGACCTGTATTTTACAGGAAAGGAGTGAGCAGAGGGTCGAGTTGTCGATTCTTGTTCAGTTTTCTGTGACTATTTTCCTCACCCTCTCAGACTTTGAGTTGCCATGTAAACCAAACAATGGTGTATTCAAGTCTGAGTGGAAACAGTCGTGAGTAAATCTATATTTATCAGAAATCGGGAGTAATACAGGAGAAATATAACCCCGGGAGGAAACCGGGAGAGGGCAATGACATCGGGAGTCTCCCGCGAAAATCGGGAGGGTTGGCAAGTATGACACACACCACACACACACACACACACACACACAACACACACACACACACACACACACACACACACACACACACACACACACACACACACACACACACACACACACACACACACACACACACACACACACACACACACACACACACACACACACACACACACACACACACACACACACACACACACACACACACACACACACACACACACACACACACACACACACACACACACGCACACACACACACACACAATGTTCGTATTTAGTCTCCTGATTTTAAATGAGAATTAAATCATTTGAGTGTTCCCAAAGCACCAGTGTTCTGCAGTTTGTGTGGGCCTACTGTACTGTTGTAGAAACTATGTCCAGGACAAGGTATTTGGAAGTTTTGGAAGATTCATAGCTAATCACATTGACGATTATGGATTATCTCATATTTTTAAGCCTCAATTTGTCCCCCAACCCCCCCTCTAACATCACCAGAAATCATAATTTAAGGGGTCATTTCTCAACATTTTCTTCCGGGGGACCATCCCCCGGGACCCCCCTTGTATGGTTTGCACATAATTTCCATAGCCCCACCAAAAATATTTTCCACCAGCCGCCACTGCTTATATCCTCAGGAACTTTGTCCACCTTTAGTCTGGAGTCTGGCTGTTGAACAGGGCTTCCGTGTCGGCGAAACAAATACAGCAAGAACAAGCTAAACTCACCCCTAGATTCCACCGGGTCCGTCTGCGTCGCGTTACGGCTGCGCCGCGGTTTTGGTCCGGCCTCCTCCGGCGTCATACCCTACCGGGCGCGTTTCAGAAGCATTTCAGAAGCGGAGCGTCTTGCCTGCCGGCTCGCAGTTTTTGTTGATTTGTGCATATTTCCTGGACAGGCTACTTTGTACAGACAAAGTTAATAATAATTGTAATATCCCAGTTATAAACGACATGAATCAAAGATGTGTAGCTGTATTTTAGTGGTAAAAAAATGCATTTATCATCATAATTATTCTATATATATAATTTACACAGTGCCTGTAAACCGGAGGAGAACGCTAGCTGTATTTCTCCTCCTACTTGAAAGACTACGGAGGGATAGGGTCTGCAAAATTAGTTTATTTGGGGGATGGGACGGATGCTCTGACCGGTCCACTTCCTGCCCGGCGCCTCTGCAACGCCTCGTGTTGAAAAATAGACTTCAATCCTATTTTGAGTGGAGCCCAGCGCCGAGACGCTTCTGGGACGCTTCTGAGCCGTAATGTGGCGCGTCTGGTGGAATAGCACCCATTGACTAGAGTGGCCGCGATCCTTGCGGACGCCGCGGCGCGGCCGTAACACGGCCGTAACACGGCCGTAACGCGACGCAGACGGACCCGGTGGAATCTAGGGGTCATCCTGAGCACACACAAACACTCACAGCCGAAGTAAAAACAATAAGTGTGGCTTGATATTGAGTAAGAAAAAGGTTTATAACGCTGTGAGAATGGGGCTGCGGAGAGCATTTCTCCGCGATCCCAACGTAGTAGACCGAAAAACGTTTACCCATTTAAACCGTCGTGGTAGATACCTTGTTTGTTTTAAACATCATATATACACAAACAACAATGAATACATACAGGTTGTGTACCCGAATCTCCCGCTGGTCCAAACAAAGTAGGAACAGCATCGTTCTTCAGTGCCCTACGCTGTACATATCCGGCATGAATCCCTGAAAGGTTTGGGAAGCTTTGTTTCATGAAAGGCTGGCAGAGGGTGCGGCCATAGCTCTGGGCGTGGCTACTGGGTATCCCTACGTAGCGATACCCAGGAAGTAAATGAGAAATCTCCAACGAGACGTTTTGGGGAGGTCTTTTCTGTGTTAGAGTTTTACTCCCTACAGGGTGTACGTTGAGGGTTTTTGACTCTGCAGACCGTTTACATGCATAAAAACCTTCATAACACACAAGGGGACGGGTAATAACCAGAAAAGCATGACATGGGACCTTTAAGTTCAGATAATGACTATGTCAAGTGGTGATCTTCTAAAGTTCATCTTACTATAATTACCTTGCACAGCAAAACAATATCACAAGATCACGTGAAGAATCATAGGATCACACAAAATATCCTTGTTTTATCAGGCATCATGATAGCCGTTGACGGGACTAATACGTGCCCCTATTGGCGGCCTGGTTTAGGTGTTTTTGAGACAACTAGGAGTGGCCAATTTGTGCCAAAAATAGCAGCGTAGATTGAGAGCAGTTATATTAGATCAAAAAGAAAAACAAAGCTTTTCTTTACGGATATATTGTTAAATTATATTCAACTGCAACCATTGTGCACCTTTGGAGGATAACTTGCTTTTGACTTACTCATGCTTTAGCTGAACTTTAGACTGCATTTTTGCACAGCTTGTTGATTTTCCCCCTGTCTTTTACACTGGAAACAAATTGATTTAATTTTGTCCAGAATCACCAGCAAGTCTGGATGCTAGAGGGGACACATCATACAGAGTTCAAAGTCTGCTATTATCCAAAATCCATTTCAGACTTACGACTATATACAAAGTTCAGTGTGTCTAATTGACTCCTAACGTCACTAAGCTTCCTGCGCCATTTGAAGAATATTTACCAAAGAAAACCTGATTTCTGATAAGAGCTTTTTCTCTTTAAACGGGCTTGTGCAGTTACCTTTGAATGCTGATTTGGTGGGATGCCTGAAGGCTCTGGAGCTGAAGAAAAACCTCAAGAAGCCTATTCTCCGAGTGTCATTCTGGTCGGTCGAAAGGGCACTTGTTACTATGGCTGCATCAAGATTAGCTTTACACCTGAAACAAGAAGTGAAGTAAAATGACACAAAAAACATGAATTAGAATTGATGCGGGTGCACGCTCATCTTCCTGAAACCTGAAATCAGAGACACAATAACTTGCACTATCCTAACAATTAGTACCTTTCCATTGTATAATATAGATGTTGAAATATTTTACAGGATCAAAATTAATCTTGGGCCCAGGAGTTCAAAACGTTTAATCTCAATCAGATCCGATCAGATTTTGAAATCCCATTTTTTGTGATCCAGGATCAGACAAATCGGCCAGATTTGGTCCCTGTAGTTCAAAGCAATTCAGGATAGGATCACCCTGATCCAGATTACGATTTTTCAAGATTACTTTAATCCTACCGATCGCCATCTAGTGGATATGAAAAATAATACAAGGAAGACAAGAGACCACATTGCAGAGACATCTATAATGTTTAATTATATTTTTAAATACATAAAGGACATCAAATCATAATGGAATTGTAATTTAAAAAAATACTCCCACTAGGGTAACAACAAAAAAACATTCATTCAAAGGCAGCTGGATTATCCAGGCGTGCTTTGAGGAGCTGAATCCTTAGTAAGGTTTCAGTTTGCTGAAGCCGGCACAGCTGTATTTGTTCTTCGGCCAGACGGATCTGAATCTCTGCCCTCTCCGTTTCACGGCTCAGCAGTGTCTCGTACTTGCCAACCCTCCCGATTTTCGCGGGAGACTCCCGATTTCTGACAAAATCAGATTTACTCAGGACTGTTTCCACTCTGACTTTAATACAGCTACACCATTGTTTGGTTTCCATGGTAACGCGTCTCTTTAGTAGTGGCACAACTAAAAGTCTGAGAGGGTGAGGAAGATAGTCACAGAAAACAGAACAAGAATCGACAACTCTACCCTCTGCTCACTCCTTTCCTGTAAAATACAGGTCCAGCCCACACATATGCTCCATCAAGGATGGTGCTACAGGCCGCAAGGCAGTGCACTTACAACTACAATAAGCATGTTAATGTTAATCTAACAGCTCCGGCGATCCACTAGCACTGGCCTTGCTATTAATTACATAATTAAACACAGGCCCTAACCAATCTGGACATGCATTCCAGGTGTGTATTTGCAATTACTTATTATTCAGAGACTGATAGGCCTACTTACTGAAAGAACAGTCAGAACACAGTCATAGCAGGGATTGTTCTCATCTTCCATGCTGGAAAGAGAGGTTATCGCCAAAGGGTCCACACCGAGCACCCCAAACCTCTCCAACAGTACACCCCATGAAAAGATATCACAGTGGGCCCCACCAGGCACAAGCCACGCCAACCAAGCACAATTGCTGTAAACACCTCCAGAACCCAACTGACTCATTTATGAGTTTATGAGCAACGGTTGTTGCACGATGTTGGAAGAAAAGGACTGTAAACTATTAATAAACGCAATGAGGCCATTGTATATATGCTGAAAATATGAATGTCTCCCTTTATAAATATATATATATGTATTGCTGTTTTTGCGTTACAAACTCTAAGTTATAAACTGTACACATTGCATTCTTGCTAATTAGCCAAAATATGAACAGAATAAGTAGCACGCATCGTAACAGAGTAAAATTAATAGGGACAACAGCTTGTCAACTAACCATTCAGAAACGTCCTGCTGCAACCGAGATCTTTGCACCTCCACCAAAACCTCCGCTGCTTCAGGGTCAGTCTCTGGATCAAATTGATAATATGCTTGAACACATGCATTGCTCTGAGATGACATGTTTATTCCACACTCGTAATCACAGCAAGCATGGTAACATGACTCTCACCGGCTCATGCCCCGCTCTTCTGCAGGGGGGCGTGGTCAGCTGCTGCTCAGAATTTTCAAAGACAGGCTTGGAATAGAGCGAAAATGAGCGAAACGAGGCATGGCTACAAAATGATCTGTTTGGTATTTTGAAAAATAAAATGTATAAATATACCTTTATATAGGTATGGTCATACACTATATCATTTAAATATAGCATGATAGGTCTCCTTTAAATAACTACCTGTACAGGCTTGCATCTATCTTGTAGTCCAATACTAACCGCACAATATTTACTGACACTGAGCTGTGAAGATATAACACTGTGCAGACTGCAAATTATACTGCAACATTCTGCTGCAGCAGAATTCACTATTTGATATAACACTAACATTCCCGACAATAGATCTCAATAGTCATCTTTTATGGTGTACATGCCTTTTTAATAACATTTTTGAATGGAGCCCAGCGCCTAGCCTTCTTACAGGCAAAGTCACTGATCAAGTCCTTGAAGTCCAGCTTTCTAGCCAACTGGCTTTCAATGGACAGCATGGCAAGACTGCAAAGCCTTATGGGGACAGGGCTGCTGAGCCTAAAGATGGATCTGTTGGGCCTGGCACCAGGGGGAGGGACAACTGATTTAGTATGAATAGCTGCTAAAAATGTACCTGCATTTATTAAATGTCAACTAAAAGAGGAGTGACATGAAAAACCTCTGAATTTTCTGTGAAGATATTAACAGTACTTAAAGGTGGGGTAGGTAATTTTGGAGAAACCAGCTCGAGTGCGCAAGAATTTGAAAATACACAACCGGAAAAAATCTGCCACTTCCTTACAGAGCCCCTCCTCCAACACACACAAACGCGCAAATGACCAATGAGGGCACGAGATAAGTTTGTGCACAGTTGGAAGGCTGACAGGCAGGTAGGCCATCCAGTTATTTTAGCCGGGCCGGCTAAAATGATTGGTCGTGCTTTTTACAGTATTACGGCTTCCACAGATGACATTTCTTTATGGATTTTTTGTCAAAGCACTTAAGATATTCATTGCTATCGGGATGTTAAGAAAATTCCATGGAATATAACAAAAAGTGTATCTCGAGCCGGTTTTTCAAACTTACCTACCCCACCTTTAATGTCAGCAAAACATTACAATTATTATTTACAATGGACTAAGCTTAGCTAACAGACTAATTTCCACGACTCATGGACCAAACCCACCTTTTCTTTTGAAAAACTGGGTGACATACTGTCGCTCTCTCTTGTCTTTCTTGTTGAAAGCCTGACTTTGTTAGTCGTTGAGACATCGCACATACGTAAGTACTAGCATCCCTCCTCACATGCTCTCACTCTCTGCTGCTAGAAAGTGTGGTGCTGCACAGCGTTTGGAGGCAGGACCAAACCATTAAATAGAGGGGGGTGTACAGAGGCTTTGGATAATTAACTTTTCGCAGAAAAAAAGTGAAATGAATCGTAGGTTTAGTGAGTACATTATCAATATAACGTTATATTAATGTTAATTATTGATGATTGATGAAAGGTTACTTACACATTTTTTCTTAATGTTCTAAACATTTTTGGGGCCCCTGTCAGTCACGGGCCCTTAGAATCGTCCTAACTTTTCCCCCCCTTACGGCGGCCCTGCATCAACTACATTGCTGATCTGGTCAGGCCACAACTGCAGTGCAGAACCTTGCGGAGTCATGCTCTGACTGTAGAGGAACAGGTCCTCATTGCCCTGCGCTTTTACGCATGTGGAACATTCTATCAGGTCATAGCTGACAGCATGGGAGTCCACAGGACAACAGTGGGTGAAGTGGTGACAGCTGTGTCTGATGCACTGGCTCACCTGCTGGATCAGTTTGTGACTTTTCCCAATGATGGCCAGATTGCCAAAGTGAAGCAGCAATTTTTTCTTCTGGGAGACATGCCCAACACCATTGGGGTGATCGACTGCACCCATGTACATATTCAAGCACCTCGTCAGAGGGAGTGGGAATATGTCAACAGCATCAATGTGCAACTTGTGGGAGATGCTGACCTTGCCATTACCAACTGTGTTGTGAGATGGCCTGGGTCAGTCCATGATGCACAAATCTTCAGAGAGAGCCGGTTGTTCACTGAATTTCAAACCAACAGGCCGGATGGAGTTATATTAGCCGACAGTGCCTACCCACTCCTACCATGGGTGATGACAGATGCGCTACAACAACGCCCATGGAAGAACAAGGTGTGCCATGGAAGAACAAGGTGTGCCATGGAAGAACAAGGTGTGCCATTGAGCGGTTGAATGGAGTACTGAAGAGGCGTTTTGCATGCCTATCTGAGGGTGGAACCCCAACAAGCATGCTGCATAACACTGGCTTGTATTGTGCTACACAATATTGCCGTCCATCGCAGAGTCCCCCTCTCTGACATCGATGATCCTCTAGAGCCCCTCGCACCTGCTGATGATCTAGGCCAGCGTTTCTCAAAGTGTGGGGCGCAGAGATGTGATAGGTGGGTTGCGAAATAAAAAAATAAATAAAAAAAGCAAAACGCATCAATGAAAAGCGACCCTCTACCACACAAAACAACACCTGTAAATAACCCAATTTGTGTTCTTTGAAATTGAATAGGATATTGCATTGTGTTTGTTACTTTCGTTGCAGTTGTATGTCTTAAGTGTCATTTGGCATGCTTTTATTTTGAAGGCGAGTTTACGCTGTTGACAGTTGTTGTTGCTATGGAAACAAGAAACGTTTCATAGCGGGCGGAATTTGTCATAAAGTCCGCGATAATAAAGCCCACCCATTTAGAGGGAAGATATGATTGGTCAATTGTACTGTCATTTGACATTACTCTCTCGTTCAGTTACTATAGCTGGCCCTCTGTGAATTCATAGCTGGACGTCCAATCAGCTCCTCTCTTCACAGTAACTCGCAGAGAGGAGCTTCTTTCATTTAACCCTTCACATTCAAACAGAAACTGAATAGGCAGATTCAAAGGATTCATTTCTTTGGAAATGTTATTTTAAATACAATTTAATCAAGTTATTATTGGTAAAACTAATGTTACTAAAAACATATATTAAAAAATATATATAAAGAAAAATATAATTTGTTTTAATGTTTTTAAATATTATTTTGTAGAATATCTTAGGCCCTCAGAGACAGGCTCGCCACTGGTAAAAATCTCTCATACACACATGTGAAACGCTCTCACAGACACACACAACACCGTTGCACCACCAAATAAAGCAGGTTAAAATAATTAAATTGCATACATTTTATTTTAGTAAACACTGAAAACGGGTCCTACAGACCCAAACAGCACACAAAGGTTAAAGGTAGCATATAATAATGTTAAAATGTGCTAAATATATACACTGCAAGAAAACAAAAAAGAGGAGTAAAAGTAGCTCACGACTTGTTTTATTTTTTGAAAGTAGCTCTCATCCTAAAAAAGGTTGGAGACCCCTGTTATAGAACGATACATTTGACAATTTTAAGCGTGGCCTACCATTTTATTGGAGCGATGAGGAACAGGTGGGGCTTGAAAAGGCCCACCTGTTCAAAGTGGGGAATGACAGAAAAAGTTTGAGAACCACTGATCTAGGCCCACCTATGGATTTCCCTCTAAATGAGAGACGGAGTGGTGGTGCAATGCGAGATGCTATTGTCCGCAATTACTTTTGAAAGGTGATGACAGATGATGGACTTTTTTTTTGTTGAAGATATTTTTTCTTTAATCTAAATTACATTTGTGATTGACAATCTTTGTTGTGATACTTTTATGAGCATAAACATTCATTCATCAACATTTGGTTGAAAACAAAATAGGCCACCACAAACATGAGCAAAAATGGAAAAATAAAATGTATTTCCCATAAAGGCTAAACATTGTGTATTATTTCAGTTAACAAACTTTGCCATCTTATTTAAATTGAAACATATTTTTAGATAAATGGTACAGTACATTTTGCTCTGTTAATCCACTGGAAATCCACCCCTCTGGTGGGATCAGGATAATCCAGTTTTTTGGGATCAAACTGATCCCAATCCTGTGTTGTCGGTTTGAACTACCCATTTTGAAGATTTGATCCAGATTAAAGCTCGGATTGGATTTCCTGATCTGTTCGGATATCAAAGTGATCCTAATCCTGTTTTTTGGTTTTTAACTACTCAAAATCCAAATCTGATTTGATACGGATTAAAAGTTTTGAACTCCTGGGCCCAAGAGTTCAAAACTTTTAATCTCAATCAGATCCGATCAGATTTTGAAATCCCATTTTTTGTGATCCAGGATCAGACAAGTCGGACAGATTTTGTCCCTGGAGTTCAAAGCAATTCAGGATAGGATCAACTTGATCCAGATTACGACTTTTCAAGATGACTAGATCCTGAATATCAGTGCTTTAATCCTACCGAGCGCCATCTAGTGGACATGAAAAATAATATAAGGAAGACAAGAGACCACATTGCAGAGACATCTATTGTCCGCAATTACTTTTGAAAGGTGATGACAGATGATGAACTTTTTTTTCGTTGAAGATATTTTTTCTTTAATCTAAATGACATTTGTGATTGACAATCTTTGTTGTGATACTTTCATGAGCATAAACATTCATTCATCAACATTTGGTTGAAAACAAAATAGGCCACCACAAACGTGAGCAAAAAATGAAAAGTAAAATTGATTTGCCATGAAGGCAAAAAATGCCATGAAGGCAAAAAATGGTGATGATCAAACTGATCCCAATCCTGTGTTGTCAGTTTGAACTACCCGTTTTGAAGATTTGATCCAGATTAAAGCTCGGATTGGATTTCCTGATCTGATCGGATATCAAAGTGATCCTAATCCTGTTTTTTGGTTTTGAACTCCCCAAAATCCAAATCTGATCTGATCAGATAGGGATTAAAAGTGTTGAACTCCTGAGCCCAGGGCCCAGGGACCGCAAATGTCTGTACTAAATTGCAATCAACCTAACCTACCCATTGTTGTGATGTTTACGATCAATACTGATAATAACATAGTCTGCATTATAATGGCTTCACAAAGGTGGTAAAAGGTGCTCACTTTTGTGAGAGGGGGTGGCGGGTCTTTTGGATTCTTCTTTTTTTAACGTGGATCATTGCAGGATCAACAAATGAGTGGATCCAAGTTGTAATAGCTCCTCAGGCTCCGGCCGGGTACATTTTTTACCCAGAGCCTTAGAAGCTATTCTTTGCTCTCAGCCCCCGCTTGCTCAGGGGTTATGTTATGTCCTGCAGATGTGTCCACATGTCCACATCTGCAGGACATAACATAACATTTAACAGGTTTAAGATGTTAAACAGTTTGCATCTCAAGTCCTGTAAAGATTTCTGTTAATACTTTACTTTACAGCATGCCTTTAAAAAACTGCAAACCAACAGGAGCTGTTTGAATAAATGTTTGTTACGTTTAAACCGGACGAACAACTAACTGAATCCTTTAATTAACACTGGAGATCAAGACAGACATGCCTTGGCCAGAATAACCTTAAGCAAACCAGCCAATAGTAAGATCGACAGAGCTGAGCCTCAAATAGGCCTTTATCTGATTGTTAGGCAAATAGTACAAAAATGCTGTAAAATATTGATCCTTATTCTCTCCAAATGTGCAAAACTATTCAGTAGGAAATTGTGCAAGGTGTCATCTAAGAATACTTCAAGTCTGTTGACTGTAATAGACCCATTATATAGCACACAATTTCCTATTTGTTACCTGCATGCATTTTTCAAACACAATTGTCTTACTCAAAAGTCCTTTCTCAGCTGAATTTCTCTAATGCAGGTGTATTTACTCATGACTTTGTTGAGATGTTGTTACTAAAACTCAAGGAATTTCTTTGATTTATTGATGTTTGGTAGAGTGTTTTATCCCTCAAGATAAACCCACACTCAGCCCCTGTTGTCTCCAACTACGAGGCCATCCTAGCTTCTGCATTGAGTTGTGAGGAATGATGAGATTATGTAGTAAATGCAGGGTTTTCAGCTGAGGGCTTTTGGCTTAGTCTCGGAGGCATACACAAACCCGCATTATTGTGGGGAGAAATAAGAGAGGTCTTACCGTGTGTAACTGTGAGCTGGTTGTTATCGTGACTTTGCAGGCCTGTTGCATTGTGGCCCTCTCCCAACCCAACACTGCTGGAGAGGCAAGAATAGAGTCTTTCAATCAGATCCGAAACTTCATGCACCCCGGTCATCGGACCGGGGGCCAATTGATAAAAAGTGACTAAAACCTCAATGTCAATGTGGGTGAAAAGTTTTCAAATCAAAACAACTTTGGGGGACACAGAGAGTAATAGTTTGTAGAGTAATGTAAGCTAGATTCCTCACGGGAAAAGGTTTGGTGTGACAAAACTCTTTCACCAATTAAGACAATTAATTACAATATATTGACAATAAAAACGTTTTTCAGTCAATCTAGGCTATATTCAAAACTATTAATGTGTTGACTTAAATATGCAAATAAGTCCATACCTGAAATATCCTTCAGTCCTCGACGAGCTTCTGCCGCAATGTTCAATTAGTTTAATTTCACTAATTTGTGGTTTTCTCGCTCCGGGTTTGTGCGTCCTAGAAAGGCGTGCGCGTCACCGGTGAAGTACTTTTTGACAGAGAGATATTGCTGCGGGACCTTTTAGTCCGGGGATGACCGTGCCACAACTTTGCCTCTATGAGCGTGTCCCTCTGAGTTGCATCTCACATCTCAGGCTCAACAGCGCTGGCTCTGCTGAGGAGCCGCAGAAGGCGAAGCAAGGAGGAGCCACGTGACTGAGGCGTAGCAGTAAGCCTCATCAGGGAGGAAAAGGAAAAAGCTCTGCGGTCAAAACATCAGAGCCACCGCAGACTTTACTCAGGTCCGGGCACATGCGCCACCAAGATGCACTGCACTGTCAGTCCCCTCTGCAGATTGGCACCATTGTGCAGTGTACTGCAGGACACACGGGTTTTCTGACACCAATTAAAGCCATTTTGTAAAGTTGGGACTGGGACACCTTTACCAGAAGATGAGTCAAATGTGTCCGATGCGTTAGTCAAGCAGCTCCCACCTGCTCCTGTGATCAATGCATTCTTGGCAGTTGTTATTCCTGACTGCAACCTCTGAACATTTTATTTTCATTTCTGGGATGAACAGAGGTAGAACAAGTATTTTTGACTGCATCCAAAATGTGACAGTGAAACAGAGCATTAGTGTGTTTATGACTCTAATAATGCTGGTAAATGAGGAGTGTTTTTTTCTTCTTTAAAAAAAAAATTAATACTGCGGAGGAGCTTATGCATTTCACCAAAGGATCAATACACTTTATATTAACCTACATACATTTTATATTATTTAAGAACAATATTTGCCTCTGAATAGTAGAAGAGTAGAAGTAATAGGTAGCAGGAATTTGAAATACTAAAATTGGAGATGAAGTTCATGCAGCTGCCAAAGAAAATAACTCAGTTAACCACGAAACACTGAGCAAAGGAGAACATAATGAACACTTTACCAGGAAGAGGGCAACATGGAGTCAAGTTAAACTTTTATTAAGGTTTGTTTTTCTGGGCATGCATTGGATCGATCATTATGGATGTTAACAAAAACAGTTAAAGCATAACATGGCTGTAAATATCATGATACAAGGTTTAATCTGTAAATTAAACCAATACATTAGAATAACTAACAGATACACATCATTGCTTTAATCTAGGATCTGAGTGTATCCGAAACAGAAAGGCAAAGAAACTCTTTATTTCTCTCGCAGACTGAAGATCTCTCCCACAGTTCATAAAGACTGTGTGATTATACTTATGTGCCTGTGTACATTTCTTTACAAAAAACTCTTCAGTGAGTCGTGTTGTCTTCAAGATGCTATCTTGTGAACGGCTATTGTGATGGTCCCATGACTCCTCACCAGAATGTTTCTACAAAACAAGCAAAGAAATGTAATTTATTAGACAAACGTTTACATGACGGAACAAAAATAATTGTAGTATTGACTTTTTGACTGATTGATCATATCTACCTGTCTGTCATTAACCTCTACTGTACAGTACAGTTTGACTAACTCAAATTCAAATGTAATCAAATTACAAAAGCATTCCTTAATATTGTGTGTGACGTAATGACTATCACAATTTATTTTAGTATCATAGGCTTCACCTATAGTCCCAACCTGAGATGAATAACATTTTCATTTAGCATAATTGTACTATTTTAAAAAAAAAATACACATCTACAAATATTTGGTTGGCCTTTAAACCCTACTTACAACCGGCAGTTGAAACATGAGAACTAATGGCATGTCACATTTAGTTTTGACACCTGATATCTGTCAGGTCATCAAGTCATTGATTTACACCTTGACAAGTACTATAATCCTACCATAGTTAGAAAGCAGCCTACAAGTCAAGATAAAGCAGAGGGTTCCTTGACTGTCACTATAACATTCAATATGACATCTTTATAATAATTATCAGTATGAGTTTAAATTAGTCACTGCTAAGCTTGAACAATAATACATTTTAGAAAGTCCAGAAGGTGGCAGCATAGCCTTGCAAATGAAAAAACTCCTTTACTAAGACTTGTAGCACAGTTTAATGTACAAATAATAGTCACTCCTTTATTTGACAGTCTTTGATTGAGTCTTGGATCTATTTCAAAGGCAGATCCCTTAAATTCAGTGAGCTAGATAGCATGTTGTGTGAGCGCTCACCCTGACTCAGACTCCAGGCACACAGTGGGGCTGTCTGTTGGGTCTTTGGAGAGAGCTGCAGCTTGTTTGGCCAAAACTGACACAACACCGCCATGTTCATCAGACAGGGAGCCGCGGCCTGTTAATGTGTGACATAAAAAGAGTTACTGTAGAGAAATGAAGAAACACCATAAGAGGCATTGATTATAAATGATCCTGAGGTAACTGAAATTTCATCATTTGCAACTTACAGATGTGTTACAAATGTAACTTATTTTGTTCATGATACTCACAAATAACCTCACGTTTTGTAGAAGCAAAGTCACAAAACAATTGCTCAACCATGTTATTTAGGACATATTTTCCACAATAAATTCCCATTCAAAAGCAGTTTTAACTTTTTGATTGACCTTGATTACGACTGAGGTTGGAACAACAAGACAGGTGTTCAGCCTATATAGGACACGTTTAGAATATTTTTCCATTGATCAATGTGTACTTGAGGTGATTTTAAGGGAGTTAAAAATTGTTTACGTACAGTTTTTATCAGGTGCATTTGCAAAGCCATTAAATTAGAACAATCATTTAAAAAAAACACTGTAACATTCTCAAATTCTAAGCTTTATCTACAAACAGTTTAGACCCTTATTCTTCTGTGATAGAAATGGACTACACTCATTTTTCTACTCTTCTTTTGAGTTACAAGTCAGAATCCCCACGTTTGTCCATCCTTGAGCCCCGTTGTGACGATTTACGGATTGGCTTGACGTTATTAAGCATGATGGTAAGGTGAAGTCTAGGCTTTGTGGTAATTTGGCCTGGTTTGTTTTGTGTTTCCTTGTTATAATTGCAGTCTCAAAGTGAAAATATGGGGAGTTTCACACGTGCCTATGTGTTTTTCAAATGAGGTAGAGTCCCCTGTTCCGAGGGACATCCATAAGGTTATCGTCTCCATTTTGTGGGGAGTCCTTTCTTTAAAAAAACTGATCACCTCTGTTTGAATCTTCCCTTGAAAAAAGCCGAGTGTGTTGTGAAAACGTTTAGGCGAAACATTTTTTAATACATCTCAGATAAAAACGTGGGGTTTTCTTACAGCCCAGGTTGTGTCCCTGGTGATCCGTGCAGAGCACACCGACCACTGCTGGGTTTTTCATCCTGAAAATATAGACAAACAGAGGCTTTTAATCGTCTTCAACGTCCCAACAGTTACAATACAAACTCAAACACAGTCTGTAATGAACTTACGTATCATCAAGATGCTGCTCGAGGGTCGACTCCATTATTAACAAGCTTAGATAACCAACAAAGTCACGTTTTGTGTTTTAAATGTGTTGTTTTGGTTGTCTGCTTCCTCAAAGCTTCCGTGTAGAGCAGCTGACCGTCACGTGCACAAAGCGGTCCCTGTGAGGTCCAAACTTCACGAAGCGCGCTAAAATAATAACAGACCAAAACACTTGACGTTAAGAAATAACCTACTATGTTGACATGTAGTGTACGATGTGTACTTTTGTGCAATTTAATACATATAGATAGATAGGTCGTTTTATGTCAAGAAATCTTTAAAGAGTAGTGTTTAAATGCCCTGTAAAGGGATTTCATATTCTAGGCTAATGTTAGCATTTGATATATCATTTTAATATTGCCTACTCTAGATGTTTATGCTCTGGTTTTTGTATGTGGCTAGGTCCTCATACACGTAAATCATTTTCTAAACTGGATTAGTTGTGAAATTAAACACTTGTATCTCTATATGTCATCATTGATGTGATCCTCTCTTCATCCATGCCCCTGTGGGAAAGGTATTTGGATATTCAGAGTTGCATGAATATTAGATTAGATTACTTGAGTTATCCCCCCCTCCTGAATACAAATCAGGTTTATTGATAATCCACTTCCCACTTTGTTCTCAAGCATTGCATAGGCAGTCACGATCAGATGACTCTCAGTAAAGCTGAAGTTGCCAAAAATAGCTCCAGTGTCACATGTGCCTTATTCATATAACACTGTTTTGGAGAACCATGAAGTTCAACTCAGACTTCTACACAGATAATTGAAATCATAAAAAAAAGAACATGCAACAAATTAATCATATGGTGGTGCAAACTTTAGTGTGATAAACTTTAGCAATATAATGTGAACTTTACCAATGCCTACACTTTATTGAACATAAAATATAGCCTTAATAGTATGAGTTGTATGAAGGCCCCTTGTTTCTTGCAGCCTTTTGTTGATGGATTTGGTGTTTTCTTCCAAATTTAGCTCAAGGCTGCCTCATGAGCTCAACTCCTGCATCATTTCTGCTGCCTGTCCAAAGATGGCAAGGCTCTAGTGCTCCTGCTGACAGAGCAGAAATGGGTGAATGTAATTATGTGTCCGCTGCATTGGAGGAATCCATCACCTGCGCAGAGGCAGGGTAATGTACTGCGGACTAAGCTCTGGGCATGCTTTCCCTCCTCTCCGCTAATTCTTCTATCTTTTCGTATCTTCTTTCTCACCTCCTAAATCAGAGCCATTGCCAACCTGCAGCCCATCACTGTCCTAACACACACATAGGCAAACACTAGTATAAGAGTATGCATGGCATGCTAAATATTTACAGAGTCCAAACACATGACATCTTCTTCTCTTGTTTATGACACCTGCATCAATATAAAGTCATATACAAAATCATTAATCTTGTATGATGGGAGGTTGGTATCAACACTAGACCCCATCATGATATACCTGTTGGCCACTTTACGACAACAGTAAATCTCCAAATGAACCCAGAATAGATCTGACTCAGAGTCAGTGTATCATCACCCTGTCATTGACTGTGTAATAATATGAGTACGGATTTTGATATTATTTATGTTATTTAGCACAAAATAAGACTTATTTATATTCTGTTATCCTTCAAGTGACAATATGGTTCATAAGCAATGTCAATTAGTATCGACACATTTGCTCTCAGTTTTAATGTTGTTTTCAAATAAGTAAATGTAAATATTTCTTTAAAAAAAGGCATCATTTTAGAAATGGAAGCAAACTAAACTGAATTATACCTCAAAAATACCAAATCTGAACAGAGATTTATCTTTTTATATATTAATTGCCAAATAAATAGCCTATTTAAAATCATATGTATTACCTTAATTGCAGAGAAGATTGTGACATAAAACAGATACATGTTTAACCCTTGAGGCCTTATAGGCATTGCTTACCTATTGTAGATACATTCACAAAGTTGATAGCAGCTGTCACAATACTTGGCATAACAGCACATGTATACCATAGCACTTTGAGTTTTGTTTACGCAAATGAAAAGTGCGCTTATAAATAAAATATATTATTATTATAATATTATTAGGAATATCCCATATAATTCTCCCATCAAGCCCAGTTCATGAGACAGCCTTTGGTCATTTCAGTAAACTCGTTATATGGTTTTGATGGTGATTTGTCTTGTCCTGGCTTCTTCAGACTGACCAATAACTTTGAATGTCATGACACCTGTGCCCTTTTTCTCACAAAGAGGCGTCAGATTCATTTGAGTTCATATGAATGTCATCACTTCTTGTATAGTTTTCAATATTTTTGTGTTGCCTTGACGCACTTGAGTAATGGAAACTCTGTCAGCCTCTGCTTTGAGCAGATCTATGGTCAGATCTGATGCAACAGGCAAAGATTTACAAGCAGGGAGGTATCCTGTGAGCCTCCATAGGCCGTCATGCAGATGAATAAGATGACAAAGCTTCTGAGGAGACTGGCAGTGAGCACTTTGGGAGATCTCAGACATGGCGAGGGAGGGAGGGAGGGTTGGGTGTGGGTCGGAGGTGGATAAAGAGAGGGAGAGAGAGTGGCTCCCCCCTCTGAGGAGTTCTTGAAACCTTCATGACTGACTGTAAAGACGGGGATCCACTGTGAGGTGCCGGACAGACCGTTTACAGCTGTTGTTGAGGGTGTTGAGAGAGTCCAGTTCTCCTGTTGCTGTCATGGGCTTCAGGGCGGTGCTGCTGTCCTTCCTCCTGGTGTCCCTGAGCTGGTCCAGAGGAGCCGTCATCACAGGGGTGAGTGACAGCTTTCTGGCTCTGCTGCACACTGCTAATTCATTTTTTCCCTGGTATTATATCTGTTTATAAATATAATGTATACTCTGTTTTAAGAGAGTGTATAACAACTTTAAATATCTCCTTAATTACTTATTTGTTTGAATAAATACAATATTTTAGTTCATTAATATCTTCTGTTTCTTGAAATTACTTTGAGACACTGCCATTTTATGCTCTATTTTAAATTACTCATTTTCTAGGGCTTCAACTAACCATTGTCATTATTGCTTAATCTGTCAATGTGTATCTTTTTATTAGTAAATGAATTGTTTAGTCTGTGAAATGTAAACAATTACAAATGAACCACCACACATTTTCTAAAATAAATTATTTCCTTTTTGTTTTTTTCTATCCAAAAATCATTTACAAACAATTAAAAACAGAACATTTGAGAAGCAGGAGCCAGCAGACGTTTGGTAATGTTGCTTGTTAAATTACTTAACTTATTATCTCATTTGTTTCTATACCTGGATGTGTGCTGTACTTGCAATCCGTTTTTAATACAATCCCTTGACTTTGAATTTTGTTGTTTGATATTTTAATATTCAGACAATAAATATACAAACATCTGAGTATCCTTTTCTAGATAATTTGTATATATGTGATTACACATTACTGACAGGAGACCACATCCTCCTCCGCTTCATGTCCAATGGAACAACGAGATGAAATTATCTCAGTCCACTGATTGATATTCTTTTGTAAATGAATTAGGAAGATGGCTGCGATTGTTAGAATGACGTGCACTGTATGATTATGAGAGGACATCTCTATAACAATAAATACAAATAAAATAGATTCAAACTAAAAAGGGTATCTCCAACACAGATACAACTGAGTCACTGGCATTCAACAATAACTGTGCTTCTGTCTTTTAGTTTCTGTCTGTCGTCTACCACCTCTCTCTCTCTCTCTCTCTCTGTGCTGCAGGCCTGTGACAGAGACGTGCAGTGCGGCTTCGGTCTTTGCTGTGCCGTCAGTCTATGGCTGAGGGGTCTGAGGGTGTGCGTCCCAAGAGGTCTGGAAGGGGATGAATGCCACCCCTATAGCCACAAGGTGGGGAGAATTGTGATGTCACTAATCTTCCTGCATCTCACTTTCTGACACACAAACAAACCATACTCTGTTGCCCACTTTTGTTTTCTACGTTGGTTGAAATTCTGATTCTATCAAGCTCCAGGCAGGTTGGCTGCAGCTTTAGAAAAGCTGCTGATAACTGCAGAGGCTATTGATCTCCTCCAGAGTGAACCGGCCAATCAGAGCCATACATCACTCTGGAGAGGGCAACAATTAATTCTGCTAACACCACATCCATCTCTGATTCAGACTTTAAAGAGCAGTTTAAAGACAGCTCCACTTGTCAACTGTTGAAGGATTGAAAGTGTCAGATTATCCCTCTCCCCCCTTTTTCCACTCTCAGGTGCCCTATCCAGGGAAAAGGCAACACCACACCTGCCCCTGTCTCCCCCACTTGGTGTGCACCAGCTACGGTGAAAGCAGGTACAGATGTACTGAGGACTTCAAAAACCTGGACTTTTAACAGATGTTGAGACATTTGGAAGAAGGAGAGCAAAGCAGAAGCGGCCTTCAGATTGAAGACCCGCTGTGGATCAGAAGCACATTATTTAATCTTTACTGACTGTATTCTTCATTGTGTACTTTATGCACTATAAATTATAAGTAGTTGGATTCTTTAAACCCACACACCAAGCACAGAAACTAAAATGTCAAAGTGTGTTTACAGTATAAGAGCCACTTCAGACATCGGACACTTTTTAAATCCAAAAAAGTTATTTGTGAACAATTAAAAAATGTGCTCTTCTGTTTTCATGCTCACTTTATGTTAATTTATCAAGAGAAATGTATAAATATTATTGTCAATAAAAGTATAATAACAAGTTATTTCCCTGTTTTAAGTTTATGTTTCCTGATAATACATAATGTGTGTTATGGGATGTCAAGTGGTTTTAATGGCAGTCTGATTATGAACAAGGTCATATACATAATGTCCTTGACCTCAATTAACAAACTCATGACTTTGACACTTAACTGGCTGACAAAGAGCAGCTACAAAATAATATTTAGGTTTTCTCAGTTAATGGTTTTTCACTCACTTAAAGAACGTTTTCTATTTCAGAAAATGCTATTTTATAGTGTTTGAATGTTTATTATATTAAGAGAAAACCAATCTGCTGTTATGAGAAACAGACTCTTGCTCTACATTAGTATCGTTGTGTAAGTTATTGGATTCTTTGCCCTCTATCGTACATGAATGGCTTCTTATTATAATGGTCATTTATTGAAAGTAGTAATAGCTCTAGTATTTATAGTAAAAGTAATCAATAACTTCACAACATTATTACTTAAATATCTTATTATTAAAGACAATAAAAAGGTTACATTCTTTTAATCGATTTAATTACAAAACAATAAATCATCAGCAATATTATGAGCTGTGGCAAAAGCTCAATTTGTGAAACCCAATGTTATGGAAGCAAATGAATAATACATTTTTATTTTGTTTTAAAATAATGAATTAATAAACTATGAAACTATGATACATAACAAACTTTGCAATTAAAGTCAAAATATGTTCTGGGTTGCAATATTTTGTTACCACTTTAAAACCCTTCTCTTGCGTTAGCTCATACCCCCCTTCCCTTGCTATTTTCGGTCAAAATTGACCGGTGTGTTTTGCACAGTGATATCTCTGGAACCCCTTGTCCAATTTTGATGGTTGACATCTCATTTGAACAGTCAAAGCAAGTAGAATCAAGGGGTGACAGACAGAAAGACACCAGGGGTGAATTTCATATTATTTTTGGCAGTAAGTTCAAAGATAGTGCTTATTTTACATTACTGTGTATTATAAAAATGCTTGCCATGTAGGCTGTGTTTACTGGAGATGGAAATGCTTTAGTTAGTGTTGCAGCTGAGATGCTTCCCGTTCCAATGATGTTTGTGATGTATTGATTTGATACAAGCAAGCCAGTGTTTCATGTCATAGTCCGGTGTGGCTAAGTGGATAGAGTGCTGTACTTTGAATCAGAGGGTAGCAAGTTCGAGTCCCACTGCAGTCAGCATGTCGTTGTGTCCCCGGGCAAGACACTTCATCCCAAATTGCTCCTGTGCTCCACAGTACTGAATGTAAGTAAGTAACTTTGGATAAAATCGTCTAACAAATGACATGTAATGTAATAGTCTGGATTGCTGTTGTCTTCCATTTCTGAGACATCTTGCTCTATCTCCTCTTCATCTGGTTCAATCTCCTCTTTATCTGGTTCAAAACATTTGTCCAGAGCCCCTCGTACAGAAAATCGCCTAATCGGTCGCCTGCTCATTGTGTCAATGAGTCAAATGTGAGCAAGGCACAAATATAACTGCTTGAGAGCCAGTAAGGGAGGCGCATTTAGCGCGAGAAAGTGAGAGGTTTGTGTTTCTCGAGGGGCACAGAGCTCGCACCTGTGAGAAGGTATGATACATACAGTATCATACCTTCATACAGTGCGAGAAAGGGAGAGTGTGTGCGTGTGTGTGTGTGAAAACGTCATGGGTGTTTCACTGTTGAATAAATCACTCAAAATTCAATGCAAGTGGTGATCATCAAGTGTATATGTTCAGAGGCCTAGTGTGGAGGATAACATAAGGTATTGAGGCAATTGGATGAAAAACATAATATTTATGATTAAAACAAAAGTTATTCAGTCACTTTTGACCCGAAACACAAAAGAAGGGTTAATAGTACTATTATTTCCTTTGTGTGTTACTGTTATCAGATAACCCTGCCCAAATAACCTTAATTCACCGTTTTGAACCCGTGGAAAATGTCCATATCAATGTCAAACAGAAACTCTAGATATCAAATCGCTCAATCTAGATGTCAAAATATTCATTGTGCACTGTATTATACATTTGTTATGCCATTAATATAGTCAAATGATGTGATAATAGAAGTCAAACCGACAAGTTTCCTTATAAGAAAAGTATGTGCTTAACTTTTCAACTTCATGAATTAAGAGAAATTAAATGACACTGCTGAGATCAACCTTAGCACTGTGACGTTAGTTCCCATGAAGGATTACTCTTCAGTAATATCATAGAAACAGCAAAAAGCGCTATTTTCAGAATAATATTTCCTGATAGTTGTGATTATTTAAACAATATACAAACGACATAGAACACTTATCAGCCTCATACTTGATCTTACAGTAAATTGCTGAGCAAAGTTTCCATTGTTAATTTGTTTAACGGGGTACTTGCTTTTTGATAAAAGGAAACAGTTTCTTATCTCCAGCTGATACATGATATCAAATCATGTGGAAGGGCATTTGGAAACACAACCTTGAGTTGCTGTATATAAAGGCTGGACTCTGCCACTGGAACTTCACTTTTCTAAATCCACCCATAAAGTGACATGATTAAGTGGCTCCTAGTCCTGTCTGCCCTCGTGGCTTTCGCCGAATGCTTCCACAAGTAAGTCCTGCCTGGCTGGTTGAATTTCTTTGACATTTTACACATGAATAGGCTGAAATGTGAAAGGCAATCTCTCCATCTAGTATTCCTGAGGGTAAATCCACAGGCTATCTTGCTTTGAGCTATCACACCTTTCAAACTTGCACAAAGCTCAAAGCAGAGCTTACTTTCTTATTTCTCCGGGTTAAAAATCCCGGACATTTGTACAACTTGCTGATTCTTTTTTATTCACCTTTCTGAAAACAGGATTCCCCTGATCAAGGGAAAGACTGCCAGGGAAGCCCTGCAGGAGAAAGGAATATGGGAGGAGTTCAGAAAGGAGCATCCATACAACCCCATGGCCAAGTTCTACCAGAGTGGTACTGAGTCCATGACCAACGATGCTGACGTAAGTCTAGACCAGAGACCATCTTTATAAAGTAGTTAGCCTCTTCAAGCATTTAGCATCTATTTCATGTTAAGTAAAACATTAAAATCACTAACCTATTTTTCTGTTGGGGCAACATAACTATTTTGTGCTTAATATCAAGTCCAGTGCATGATGATGTCAATTTGTTGTGTGCTTTGTGTCCCTCTAGCTTTCCTACTATGGTGTGATCTCCATCGGCACCCCTCCCCAGTCCTTCAGTGTCATCTTTGACACCGGCTCCTCCAACCTGTGGATCCCTTCAGTGTACTGCTCCAGCCAGGCCTGCCGTAAGTGTTACTATCTGGGACCAGCACTGCAGCACAAGCTGTTAAGAGCTGGATCATATGCTTCAAGCTTTTGGATAGTGTTTCACACAGTGGTGGAAAGTAACTATATTTACTCAAGTAGTGTATGTAAGAACAATTTTAAGGTTATTTTACTTCTGCAACATACAAAGTAATGCAACCTTAATAGTAACTCGGTAGTAAGTAATTATATTTCACTGACAGGAGCCATTGTGCAACATCAGTTCTATCTTTGCAACTAAAGTACATTTCACTCTAAATAAGTCTGTGCTTTTCATAGGTAACATTTTGATTTTAAGAATTCAACTTATAATGCAATATTTTAAGTTTTTTTTTTACTTACTAGAGATTTACCTAACATTTGACAAAGACCTCATTCCTCTGCAGAGAACCACCGTAAATTCAACCCACAGCAGTCCAGTACTTTCAAATGGGGAAGCCAGCCTCTGTCCATCCAGTACGGCACCGGCAGCATGACTGGATATCTGGCCAGTGACACTGTTGAGGTAACCAACTGCCTTGGAACAAAATGCAAAGTCTATTTAGACTTCCAACAGGCATGACTCTGTGGTCTGTTGAACTGTGACTGACAGCTGTCGTGTGTATCCAGGTGGGCGGCATCTCTGTGGTCAACCAGGTGTTCGGAATCAGCCAGACAGAGGCTGCCTTCATGGCTAGCATGGTGGCTGATGGCATCCTGGGATTGGCCTTCCAGAGCATTGCTTCTGACAACGTCGTGCCTGTCTTTGACATGATGGTCAAGGGGGGACTTGTGTCTCAACCCCTGTTTTCCGTCTATCTGAGCAGGTATTGAAACAGGGTGGAAATCTGTTAGTTGGCAGTATGTCAGTTCACGTGACATTGAATTCACGTATTGACATTTGTTTGTTATTTCCTCTAATAGCAACAGTGCACAGGGCAGTGAGGTGGTCTTCGGTGGTATTGACAGCAGCCACTACACTGGACAAATCAACTGGATCCCTCTGTCCTCTGACACCTACTGGCAGATCAAAATGGACAGGTACAAAGGGAATAGAAACAAAAATAATAACCACAAGCATAAGTTGCACAAAGCCTCCTAGTTTGATCGTCTGCTGTTCTTCCTTCACAGTGTTATCATCAATGGACAGACTGTAGCCTGCGCTGGTGGCTGCCAGGCCATCATCGACACTGGTACCTCCCTGATCATTGGCCCATCCAGGGACATCAGCAACATTAATTCTTGGGTTGGAGCCTCAACCAACCAGTACAGAGAGGTGAGTCATACCATCAGACCGTAACATTTGAAGTACATTTTCCCTATCTTCTGATCCCAGAGTAAACAGACATGTAGTGCTCTGACGTCAAAACTCTCCAATACAAATAATTAGGCAGGACTTGGTTACTTGCTTTAGCTGGAAACCTGGAAAATACCAATAAATACAACTACACGATACTCAGCGTTATGTGTGACCTTCTTCTTGCAGGCTACAGTGAACTGCCAGAACATCCAGAGCATGCCTGAGGTCACCTTCACCCTCAACGGAAACGCCTTCATCATCCCTGCATCTGCCTACGTCTCTCAGGTCACCTAGAATCACTGCCACGGAAACGTTTTTCAACAATATCATGAGATTATGGGTGATGTAAATACATTTTCTGTTGTCTCTCCACAGAGCTCCTACGGTTGCAGAACTGGCTTTGGCCAGAGTGGCCAACAGCTCTGGATCCTGGGAGATGTCTTCATCAGGCAATACTACGCCATCTTTGACTCCAGTACTCCAAAAATTGGTCTGGCCAAGTCTCTCTAAACACATGATTGATAAGTGTGTATTTCCCTGTAGGGACTTGTCTGATTGAAAACAAAAAAAGGTGCAAATGGATTGTGTGGAAATACATGATACAACCACATTGTAGCAGCCTTTGCAATAAATTGATTAAAGCAACTTAATGCATTTTGGGTATTTTTTGTGTATGCTTAAGTCGGACTGTGATGGTACTGGTATCGGATAGGACCACCATACTAAATTGTTTTAATGAGCATTTTGTGTCCTGTGGCTCTCTGTTTCATTCTGTTTCTAATTCTGCTTCTGTGAACACCACAATCGGTGACTCAGAACAATGTGGTCTGGAAAACCCTTTCAGTTTTACTCCTTTTACTGTTGATGTTGTTCGTGAAGTCTTAACCAAGCTAGATCCTAAAAAGCCGGCTGGTCCGGACAACGTAGAACCTTTCTTTTTAAAGATAGCTGCAGATTTGATTGCTCCACCTCTTACTACTCTTTTTAACCTCTCCCTCAGCACGAACAAAATCCCAAAAGTATGGAAGTCAGCTTATGTCCTGCCACTACTAAAAGGAGGGGAGGCCACCTTATTAAACAATTATAGACCCATCTCTAAATTGTCAGTTCTGGCCAAGGTTCTTGAACGCTTAGTGAGTGAACAAGTAAAGGAGTTTTTATGTAACAATGACATCCTGTCTAAACATCAGTCAGGCTTCAGAAAGCAACACAGCACCATCACTGCCACAATGAAAGTGGTGAATGATATTACGAGTATTTTAGATAATAAGCAGAGTTGTGCAGCTCTATTTGTTGACCTATCCAAAGCTTTTGATACTGTCGATCATTGCATTTTGAAGCAAAGGCTGGTCAGTATAGGCATGTCCAGCCATGCAGTAGGGTGGTTTGTAAACTACCTCTCTGAAAGATCCCAATGTGTTCAGTTTGATGGGCTGTCTTCTGAGTGGTTAAACATCACTAATGGTGTACCACAAGGTTTAGTTTTAGGTCCGCTATTATTCTCTATCTATATTAATAGTTTAGGTGAAAATGTCGAAGGAGCAACCTTACATTTTTATGCGGACGATACCGTGATGTACTGTGCAGGTCCCTCGATTAACGAGGCTGTTGTTAAATTACAGGCTGTTTTTAACATTATTCAGGCTCAGCTCTCTGAGCTTAAGCTTCTTTTAAATGTGGATAAAACCAAGGTAATGCTCTTTTCTAAAGCTAAAGCTAAAAATACACCAGAGACTGCTTTGGATATTGTAACTACGCAAGAAATACAACTTGAAGTGGTTACCTGTTACAAATACCTGGGTATCTGGCTTGATGACTGTCTCACTTTTAAACTTCATGTCAATAACCTGCTTAAAAAGCTGAGGGTTAGGCTAGGTTTCTTTTACAGAAATAAGTCCTGTTTCTCGCTTGAGGCCAGGAAAAGGCTAGTCACTGTGACCTTTTTACCTGTGCTGGATTATGGTGATTTGTTATATATGAATGCACCTGCCAATTACCTGAGCAAGTTAGATGCTGCGTATCACAGTGCACTGAGATTTTTGACAAATTGTAAAGCACTTACGCATCACTGTACCCTGTATACCAAGGCGGTTATGCCATCACTTACTGTACGGAGGCTCAGTCACTGGTACTTTTTCATTTACAAAGCCATGTTGGATAAACTACCATCTTATATCTGCTCCCTGATCTCTCTGCAAATTGAAAGTACTTATTGCCTGAGATCGCATGCTGTGGTTTTATTAAATGTGCCAAGTGCTAGGACTGTCTTAGGGAAGAAAGCTTTTAGATGTGCAGCTCCACTAACATGGAACAGTCTGCAAAAAGAATGGAAAATTACCAAGCTAGTACCACTACATGTTTTTAAAGCTCGGTTGGATGCTACTCAATCAGATGCTGTTGGTACCTGTACTTGTGGTTAAATATGTAAATTGTAATCCCTGTACATTTTGCTGTATGATGTCCTTTTGTTGTTCTGTTGTTTATGTCTTCTTGTGGAACCTACTGCTGCAGGTCTCCCTTGAAAAAGAGATCATTGATCTCAATGGGATTTTACCTGGATAAATAAAGGTTTTGAATTTGAATTGACAAGAAAGATCAAACATCAGTGTAAGAAAAGCATCTTTAGAAACATCCTCAGTCTTCTTAGTTTGGTTTTACAGCACTGAAATGTCAAAGGAATAAGAATATGTTACGTCTGTTCATCCATTCGCTCTAAGGAGAAACTTGACCTTTATTGAAGATACAAAAAGGATTGCCAGCTTTCTTCTGTAAAGGAAAGAGTGGCCAAGAATAGAGTATTGAGCGACTCTCAGGATAGCTGGGTTGTAATCGAGAAGAAGCTGATAAGTGAAGCATTGATATAACAAAGGATAACCTGATGACATAACCTGACAACTCCGCTGCTATTTCTGTGAACAGTTTCGTAAGGACTCAGAGAAAACACATTGAAGAAAACACGATAATATGGTTATTTTTACCAGACAATGTTATTTCTTTAATGCAAAATCATTTTATTTTTATGTCATTCATCTTTTTCACAAACAACACATGCTACACACTATAGGATTTAGCGGCATCTAGCGAGCTTAAAGATTGCATCAAATTAAACACCCCTCAGCTCACTCCTCCATTTCCAAGCGTGTTGGAGAGTGGCAGTGGCCTTCAGGTATAACATAAAATGTGAAAAGCCCTGTCTCAATAGTTTTCGGTTAGTACTTGTACTGTAGGCTACTGAAAAAACACAAAGACGTTACATAGCAGACTCCTAGAGAAGGACCAGCTCCCTGTGTAGATATGAAAAGGTTCTTTCTCAGCTGACAACAACACAACATCTCTTAGTTTGAGGGGATTGTGCACAAAGGATAAGATTATCATGAAAATCATATTCCATATTGGACATTAAATCACCCTAAATACTACACATTGGACCTTTAATATTGCATGATCATAACTTAAAGTTAAAAACAAAGAAGCAGAAGATGATGTTGATTCTACTTGTTTGTTATGCAGCCAAATGCATGTTGTTATCCTTTCTGCCTGCCTGGTGAGTGTCATTGGAGTTATTTAAAAAAGTAAATTAGTGGAACAAATTAAATCGATCCAATCAAAATCAGAAACTAAACTAAACTTTCACAGGTATTCACTGCTGGTGGATTGCCAGTGTGGAGTACTCCACCATCCAATCAGGCTCTGCGCTCCAGGTTGAGTCAGGGGCTATAACTTGTGTTTTGTGCATCCTCAGGTTTGCATACACCTCGGTTGTCGGTTTCTCGTGGGCTATGAAGTCCACTGTTGTGTAGACAATGCCACTGATTTCCTGGGAGGGACACATTTTTGGCAAGAGACAATGTTGTGGAGGAAGTTTGAAGCATAAACATTCAATCTGCTTTTGAAATCAAGTGACAATGAATCACAGCCTCCACTTGTTCCCTGTTTACACTCACCGGGGCCTCTTGTTTCAGTGACTCACACAGAGTTTCTCCATATTTGTCTACAAAGAAAAGCAAAATGTCATTGAATGCACTGTATATTTTTTCTTTCATTCACTCAGATAGTTGTGATCACCAATTTAAGTAAACTGCTTACTCGTCTGTTTACGTTTTGCCTTGACCCTGCACCAAACCACACCAATAACTGAAGTGATCAAAAGCATCACTGTAATAGACACAATGACAGCAAGTGGCAAGCCAAAGGTCCAGGGAACCCTGGAGAGGAAAACAAATACATATCTTATCTTAAGTCAGACAGCACTGTTATCAGGCAAGCAACAGAACATGGGTAATATACAGAGAGAATACCTGGGACTGTCACTGCGGTCCTGCGCCACATCCGGCCCGGTGGAGTGGGGGGGGGTCGTGGAGCTGCTGGGGGCTTTGACAGTTGTTGCCAGTAAAGGTATATTGTGACCTGAAACCTCTGAACAATGCAAGCATATCACATAAGCTTCTAGAGAAGGGGTGTCCAAATTAAGCTAATTCAAATAGTATAATGAATTATGGCCCACAAATTAAACTTGTGCTTGTCATATATTGTACTAATTAAATATATATGTACAAATGTGTGTCCACTTTTCGAATAAATTCAATCAATTAAAGTTGGAAACATTTTCAAACTAATCTTAGTTCATATAAAAAGCCCTATCACTTATTTGCATAACAAATCTTCTTATAAGCAATCTGAAGCTTGTTTTAAGGCATGAGCTGCAAACTAAATAAATGAAACCCTATGAGAGCTGCGATGTATGGGCTGTTGTGTTTCTTACAGCATGTTCAAGTATCAAGCTTAATTTACCTACAATTGATTGATTTTGCTAACTTATAACTTAGCATATGAGGCAATATACCTCAACTCTAGTGAGTGGAGTGGCCCAGCCCTTCTTATATGTTCCTTTATTTGGCCCCTCGGTGAAAAAGTTTGGACACCCATGTTCTAGAGTGTTTGCTCAGAATAATAATTTATAACTGCTTCCTTACTTTACTGAGGAACAAAATATCAAACATTATTTTGCAAGTGAACATTTATTTCATGAAGCAGTAATAATTCAGTTTTGGCCAAAGCGTTATTTTACACACTTATGTCACCTATGTCATAATTTACTTTTATAACTACAAATTATAAGACTGCTTACCAGACACCTCGACATAGTAATCACTGTAGATGTGGTTTTGAGTTCCTAGCACCATGCATCTGTAAAAGCCTCCGTCCACATACCGAACATTAGATATTTTAAATTCTATCCAGCCGTCCTTTTCAGTTGTTGTTACTCTTCCTTTCAGTAAACCACAGGTAAACCCTGCACTGTCCAGTAGCTTGTAACATCCTCCTGGATAGAGTTTACAGCAGGACTTGTTGTAATTATTGTAAAATGAAGGGAAGGTGAGTCTCAGCAGAAATTGTTCAAACTCCTCGATCCTCTGCTGCCCTTTTAGATGAGGGATATCTGCAATACAAAAAGTGTTTATTCATAAAGACACAAGAGAAGATAAATCATTAATAAATGTATCTGTTTA